AACCGTACCCTCCAGAGAATAGGAATAGAATAAGTCGAATCAAATTCATAAAGAGCTATAAAATGTTAGGTTTAATGGAATATAATGAGAATCAAGTAAAGACGTTATTAGAAAATAAGTGAGACAAGATATTGTGAAGTGGTATTTAAAGATCTGACAATGGATAGCAAGTTAATTCATAAGATGCCCCATAAATCTGTGCAGATCCCACGTGGTCGCATCTCAACAATAGGCTGAGCGAATGGTATATATTTAAAGGTAGAAGCATTATCTGTCAAGGCGTTCACTATTATCTTTTTCAAGATAAAGATCTAAGCCCTCATAAAAATCAGAAATATCTCGAGCCTTTAATTTGTATATTGCTGTTCCTGCAGAATGGGGCGATTCACCTTAGTGACCACCACCATATCTACTGATCAGCTAACGCCACCCTCCCTCCTTTTTTGATGTTAAGCTCTGAGACTATGATTATTATGGCTACCGCAAATATATTGCTTGGTACCAGACATGTTCGTACCCCATATTCCATCTCCCTAGCTTTCTTAATGAGTGCTTCCAATAGGTCTGCACGTACATCTTTACGAACATATTATATATGTGTGCATGCATCCTGATGAACAGATTACTTTATAAGAAGTTAAAACCTTAAAGAGTAAAACGAATAGGTATTGTGAATAGTGGAGCAAGATTTAGCAGAATACTATAGTTAAGGTTCAATTTAGGTAGTATGGACTGAAGGTAAGGTCGGTTGGCAGGACTTAGTGTACTAAATTTTCATGACAGTCTTATATATAGTAAACATCTGACATTGCAAAGTAACGTGTCTAGACATATTATAAAAAGATATTAACACAGAACCAACGAAATTTTGGCGTTTTTTAACAATACTGCAGTGTGTGTATACTGAAGAATGGTGGTTAGTCTACAGGGAGCCGTAGAGTAAATCAAACCATATATGATAAGAGTATAATCAATAATATAGTTCGTATATCAAATATTACACTAGGTTCAATAATTGAGTGTTATAAGGGAAACAAGCGTGGTAAAGCAAGAGAACATTTGATGCATAAATATTTTAAGTATTATCACTGAACTTGCTTACTGGTTCACAGTTCACCTTTGTATGCACTTCTTGCAAACGTGTAAAACACAACCGTGCTTGTCTTGCATCTTGTAACTTATCTGTTGAGGATGTACTACGAAACCTGTTACACTCACTAGGTCTATATGCATTACTGGACATCATGGAGCCTTCTCGATATCCACCTCTCTGAGGCCCTTTCGTCATCAATGAGTGCGTTTTACCCTCAGACTGCTCTATTCTAGGGGTGAGATTCAATATGGTGGCAAACTTGCTCATCGATTGATTGACACTATCTTTTACTAGTTTCAGGATATCATCAAACTTTGGATCGATACCCTCATCATCCATACGGGAGCTTATCTTCACCCAATTCCTTTGCAGTCAAGTAGGTAGGCGTCTTGCTATTACTTCTAGTATAAAACTCGAGTTGAGGTCACTCATGGGATTCATCGAAATCATTCCATTCTTGTAAATTAGCAAATTATCTTAAAACTCAGTAAGTGACTTGGAGTCATCTTGAAGTTGACTGCCATTACCTTTGACAGCTTCGTATACGTTCCTTAAAATCATTGAAGGTCTTGCAAACCTTTGACGTAATATGCTCATAGCCTCATCGTAGCCCTCTTTTGGCTTCATAAACTTACAGCACTGTATAGCTCTTGCAGCATCCCCAGTGCAATATCTCATCAAATACATTAACTTCAATTCATCATTTAATAATAAACCACTCAACATGATCTCAAACTCCTTTACAAACTGTAAATAATCGGCCGGGTTTCCATCGAAACAACGTGGTTCAAATTTAGGGAGTTTGATGTTCCTATTATCCCTGAACGGCGAAACAGTAACATCAACCATGTCATGCTTAACATCAGACACATCGTTACAATTAACAGACAAGTCACCATGACTTACTTTCCTGCTTGCATCCAAGACACTCTGTCCCTTCTTTGACCCAGGCATTGTTGAACTTGACCCAACTCCAAAAATGTTCCAGATATTGCTTGATCAAAGAGGACTTGTCTGGCGCCAGGAAAGATGAACGGTGACTATCCAAACTGTAATCAACTGTCTGAATCCGCCAGAGTCTGTTTCTATCGTCAGAAACTGTCAGCCACGTCTCATAAACCGTTAATGCCCAGCTCTTGCTACGCTCGGGCCCACGCTGTTCCTTGCAGTTTTTCAGAAACGCTTAATAGTAACGGACGCGAAAACCAAAACACCGATTGGCCGCTTGAGAATTCTTTATTGTAACACCAACATATAAATAATATTTCTATTAAGGTCTGTGAACAAATATTACAATAATAAATCACGAGATTACTTTTGATGGTTTGCTACTGACTTCTTTCTGAACAGCGACCGATGAGACGATGACTGTCGTATTGATGCCTCCGCGAAAATTGGGGAAGTTGATTTTGAGCAAACAACCAAGAATTGATCGTTCAATCTTCAACTCCATTGACAGCTTGTTTGACACTGTCATTCACCAGGCTCACAATATCATCCAACCCGGTCTCTGAACCCTCCTCTTCTAGACGGGAGCTAATCTTTATGAACTTTCTTCACAGACTACCTGGTATTCTCTTGGCAACAGTCTCAAGCTCGGAACTTGAACTTCATTCATCTGCGCAATTAAGAGACACAATGGTATTTCTGTATACCATTGAACTGTCCAAGAACTCTGCGAGCTCCTCTGAATTATCGTTTGACTGTGATCCATTACCTTTCACGGTCTCAAAAATACTAGGGGATTTCATAAATGGCCTTCCAAACCTTTGACGTGGTATCCTCATAGCCTCTGTATATCCTTCTTTCGGGGACGTAAACTTGCAGCACTATATGGCTCTTGCAGCAACACCGGTGCAGTACCTCAACAAATACATTGACTTCATTTCGTCATTCAAAAAAACCACACAGCATGACCTCAAACTCCCTGATAAGCTGTGTATAGTCAGCTGTTTCCATCAGAGTACCGAGGTTCAAACTTAAGAAGTCTTAAAACACCACTGTCCCTAAGTGGCGAAGCGTGAACATCAGACTCATCCTGTTGAGCATCACGCATATCATTACAACTAACAGGGAACTCATCGTTACTTACTTTTTGTCTGCTTCCATGGTGCCACGTCCCTTCCTTGACCTAGGCATTATCCAACGTCACCAGAGAATCCGAATTGCGTTGATAATTCTTGTCCGAAGAGAAGCCGACTGCAGATCCCGTAAGAACACCCGGATGAGTTCCAGAAGGCGCTCCAGAAAGCGAACAGATGAATAGAAACTGTCAAGGAACTTATTCCTAAATTCCTGTTGTTTCAAAGACGCTCCACACCGGTAAATACTATCTACTTTCTTCGACTTTAACTCCGAAACACGAGTATTGCAAGAAGGAACTTATATTGTTTTGCAATTAGATTGGAGTACAGTACAAGTCTATCAACAAATGCTTTATACAAAATTGTTATGCACTTTTATTCGCTTTTGTTCGTCTTCGTCAAATTTGTACACGATTGAATCATTCGTGCCGTCGATTTGCCCACCAATGGCTACCTGTTCGAAAAATATACGTTCAGTGTTCAAGTCCGTTGACAAGTTAGTTCAGGAGATGCGTCAGCCTTTGAGATATATTTTCGTCAATACGCAGTTCAATAGTTGGTAATAAGCAAAACATATTTCATCAGATGTGTTTCGACTTCGCATTTGGGCTACGGGATAAAATAAACTAACTCATGAGATATAACGAGACAGAGTGCGAGAGTTATCTCGGGTAAGAGAAATTATTGTTAGATAACTCCTTTTTCAGTTAGATGAGAACGAAATGAAAAAACAGTTATCATATGTTGACATTTCGCTTATTTTTATCCACGTTATTAGCATTTCATTATACCTGAACTAGTGATCATTCTGACAGACTGACTTTCAACATAGAAGCTTGCACACAATTGCACCCGTTTGGGTTATCACATTCCGTGTAGCACAAAAATGTGTAGAAAAAACAAATTAAGTGAACTGTAATGAGCAAAAATGCGATGGAAAACGAACAGTGATATGGAAAAAACATAAGAGTTGCTCAGATATGTGAGATTACACAGAGTGAATGCATTTGTGTCATTAACAATGTTTGGAGTCACATTTCTACTTAAGACTTAGCATAACCGCAATGTTAATCACCACATTAGACTACTTATGATGATGCCTGTAAACTGGCGTCTTCATGTACAAAATGAGAATTTTTTATTATTATTATAGCATCAACTGCCCAAAGTACTTCATCTAACATAGTTTTTTCGCATTATTTTATTTGGCATACATGTGTTCCAATTCAGTGAACATTTTTGATAAGACTTCCTTGACAGTGTTCTCGTCATTTCTGATTTCTTTTCTAAGGGCGATCGGCACTGAACAGGAGGCCAGCGAACCACTGGATCCTACGGGCGAACAACAATGAAGCGATGTACATGTAGCATATTGGCATAGGGAGACGACCAGTATGCAGCTCACTGCCATCAAACCCATTAGAATAGTTTTACTAGTGATGCAGTCATTAGGTTTTTACTCCACACATCAACAAGGGTGAAATCCATTATTCAGTTTAGCCTAAAACTACTTGCAGAAATACGTACTTTCCAAGAGTTGAGGTCGGTTTCTCACTGCCTGCTTATAGCTTAAGAACTTGATTTTACCAAAGATTTTTATCTTTGGATGCTCAAAAGACTCAGCTGATGGATATCTTTGCTTCAGATAGTTGCTTCGCTATTAAAGGCTCTGAACTTTCGAACACTGCACTAGCAGTGACCTTGGGCATTTGTGGTACTTACGAATGTTTTAGGAAGATGCCTAATCAATAGGATGGATTATTTTTTCTATACTATTTCCATTCAATAATACTTCATATAGGCTTATTTCTATACACTTTACAATGGAACGAGATACTATCTTGGAAAACTTCTTAGTAAGTGGAGTTGCGCCCTCGCATTTTTATGTCATTATTGTGATTCATCCTAACTGAATTTTCTTTTGGTAGGCTTGTACAGGAGTGACAGATATCACTTACGGTATATCAGTACTGGAAGAACATGACTGGGACCTATCTGCAGCTGTTTTCAGTGTTATTGGTGATGGTCTCTCAGGTAAATAGAACAGTTTCATGTGTTACATTTGTATTATTTCAATTTGCTCTTCTCATAATGCAAGCATATAAGTACTATTTAGAAGTGTAGAAATAAGAGGCTAATCGTCCAGTGGGCAGGCGAAGTGGAATAGCATTTTGATGTAAGGCGAGATCATGGAATAACAGCCTTAGTGAGAAACAATTGGTGACATGCCTCAAAACCGTTCTCAGTGGCGCAGATGCATCCACTCCCTGTGACTTATGATCTTCAATGAAACTGTTTTGTATTTCTTTATTACTCCTTTGTCTCACACCTCTGCTCACTGTTTCTAGTATGCTTTTCTTGTACTTTCTTGTCTTGCTTCGCGTGCTACACGGAGTGTGGCGACTTGAACTTCCGCACATTTGTGCAAAGTTCTATGTCGAAAACAGACAGACTTAGTGATTAGTAGCTGTCTGTATATTAAGGATGTCTTGTAGGCAAAAACAAAGTCGTGGAGTACTTTCTACACTTCGCAAAGTACAGAAATCAGCATGCGTCGCCTTTGAGAGAAGCCTCACGTGACTCAGCATTTGTCGACATCATTCCTATCCTTCGTTAATTAAATGTCAGAGTACTAAACTTTATATATTTCCACTCCCGAGTGGGCTTGAAATACGCTATGAGCACTGCTCAAAAACCCAGTCTCTTTCTCGTGTTGCTAAGTGACAGCTCTGTTGAACCAATGATCTTTCTGTTTCCTTGTAAAAGTGGACTGAAAACTCCTGCAGAATACGAAAGAGTAAACTAGTGGACACTACTTACCTGTCTATATCTACGATGGGATTACACCAGTAACCAGTCCTTCAAAAATGATGAGTTTGGATATAATTATTACTTTCGTTTATAGGTGGAAAATAGGGCTTTAATAGCATACCTGCATCCCATCCTGTTCTCTTCAGTTCTTTTCAACTGGCTCCATGATTACTCCTTAGCTTTTATTTCCTCCTGCTCACAAGGTGTCCATTTCACCCTTGGACCCCAGGCGAAATCATCGTTTCTAATTCGGGTTCAACCCTAGAGTCTGTTGAACAATGTCACTCAACGGTCTCCTCAGTTTGTGCCCGACTCATCTCCATATTTGCTAGCGAACAGGTTCTTGGTCAGTTCGTTGCCAGACTTTTGAACTCTCATTTTCATAACATGGCTCAATTACTGCATAGAAATCGGATAACATTGATTGACTAATCAGAATTGAGAAAAGTGGATGTGTAAGTGTTACGGAGTAGTACATTAAAATATGCATAGATTACTCAATTTACGCTGTAAAAAGATTGCCAATTTGTCAGAGGACAACCCAAGGAAAAGTTGCACCAACTTCGGCATATATATTCACTCATCCGATTGACTGCAAGTGAGTTCATCTTGGGATACATCTACTGAACGAATTTTCAGAGGAGTTAAAGTATCATAGCCAAAGTCAAGATCTTAGATGGTTAGAGGCAATCATCAGAAAGCCTTGGACCTAGGTTTCGTGATAGTTGGCACTCATCAGTCAGCAGTGAGCATCTGAAACCTTAAAAGAACTCATGTCCCTTCTGTCGCAGGTTCGAATCCAAAAAGTTGACTTTCAAGAATCAATCATATCTGGGGAACCCTGTGAAACATTCCAAAATGAAACAATGCCTTTCCTTTTGGATTTGGCGAGAATAAATACACCATTCTGCTTAACTTCAAAGGCACTTTGTCTGTAAATCTGTGCTGTAAGGTAGGTCTATGATCTTAAGATTGAGGTTAGGTTTAAGGTTAGGACTAAGATGAAATCAGGATTACGGTCAGAGTTAGGGGTATGAAATGAATGAATTCCAAATTACCATTATCTACGGTCACCCGCGTGGATACGTCTATCGTGCATGTTATGATTTCTCCTCAGGTTATCCGTGTAGTGACAGGGAGATATTCTTACAACACATAAATGACAAGTATCTAGTGTAACATCATGTTTGCAATGTTCTTTAATGAAGTTTTCAACGATTATACGATTTTTTTTCGCATCTGGACTCTGATTGATTGTTCAAGGCCACTGTGATTTAGGCTATAATAGTTTAACTTCGCCGAATTTTGTCTCATATCCCTGTCTACTGACTCTATTATGCATTTCTTTTACTTTCTTCTCTTGCTCGCTGGATATCACGTCTACGCCAGAGATGGCGTAAACTGGTATGTGCGAAAGTAGCCTTATGTATCTGTGCTGAGGTTTCGTCAGCGATCAACCCGCTGGCGTTGGGGCTGATGCAACTTCCCAAATAAGTGAAGTGGTTAACACGCTGCAACAATCACTTTATTCCATTTCTAAGCTAGGAGTCGGTGCAGTCCATCCTTGTAGCATCATCTTACATTTGAATAGGGGAGCGAATCGCATGCCAAACATTCGAAGATCGCAGCTCAAAGTGTTCAGAAGACTCTGCTGTATTTTGCCAGCGTCTTCACCTATAAGGACTATATCATCTGTATATTCTAAGTCAACAAGATTATTCCCTGGTGGTAGCAAGTCAATCCCTGAGTCGCTGAAGTCAGCAGTTAGGGTTAACTCCATTAGTACATATATGATGAAATGGGATAGAAATGGGGATAGTGGGCATCCCTGTCGGACACCACTAGTTGTCACCACTTCAGATGAGAACTCGCCGTAAGCTTTCACCTGACTGGCTGCATGACTTCTAGTAGAGTGCCTTGATCAGTGCAATGTATTTTTTCGGGATTCCTTTTACAGCCAAACACTGCCAAATTACCACTCGGTCGACAGAATCTAATGCCGGCTTTAGGTCAAGAAATATAACGATTGCTGGATGCCGGTAAGTATGCCTATGTCCTCCTGCTATGTCCGACCTCTTGAGAAGAAAAAAAGGAGATAAGCTTCATAGTCATTTCTGGAAATTTTAAGCATTGTTATGCGATCTGTGCATAAGAATATAACAAGAAAAAAAAGAGACTCGAACTGTTTCATCTTTAATCGTATGATAAATTGGTCATACCGAAAATCATACATATGTGGCCTTACTTTGAACCTCTTTTAGAATGTTTGAATTCCCCCTTAAGACAAGTACTGGTTGCCTAGACTTGGTTTTCCAGTTTTCATCTCATCAGAGAAGTGTATAAAAAAGAGTGAACCATATTAGTGGTGATTTTACTTAACTCTGTGTATTGCCGAAAACAATGTAGAACTTCGAGCTGCCACGGTTTGACAATGTGCTGTAGTCGTCATAAATTACTATGACATCAAGATCTCTCTCTCTCTCTCTCTCTATATATATATATATATATGAGTCCAAACTTGTGGGAGCTGACTCCTCTCTGTCCGATACTCATGGTTGCACACGTCACTTTAGACCATCCGTTCTTTGGACAAATCTAACAGCTTTCTTGAAATCTACTTGCAACATAGACACGTCACTATCGTCCTTTAGCTCTCTCCAGGTTTTTAAGTCATCTGCGTAGAGAACCACTGGAGACTACTAGGTTAGTCCGTGTAATTCCTTGATAGACACACTACAAAGCGCTATCGAGGAGGAGAGTTTTTAAGTTGATCCTGACTCTTTATCCCTCCCTCCCTTCCTCCCTCCCTATTAGAAACTCCTTAATCCACTTTAATAGATCAGCTTTAATTCGCAAATAATTTCGCTTTTATTCCAAAAACAGTACTAGTGGTACAGTGTGGAATTTTCAGCACATATCTACAATATTGCATCTAATTTCATCGCACATTTAAAAGGAGTATTACAAAAAAATAAATATAAAAAACAACAAAAACCAAAAAGAAACACAAAAATAACAAAAAATGCAAATAAAAATACCAAGTAGAAAGGAAGATAAACAACAATAAAAAAAAATATTTCAGTATTTGGTAGTGTAAGCTATGGTATGTGTATGCGTGGTGAGCAGTAAAGCTATAATCATACAAGAAGTTATGAGGTGTTCTTAAGAATGTTTATAGCCAAGATGATCAGTTGATTTGATTGAACTACGCTAAAATATCATAAAATAAACATTTCAGGTTTTTTTATTGTCAGCTCTAATGCGGTGTTTGTAGTGTTAGTGTAAGTAATCCTGCATAATACAAAAATTTTAGGATGGTGATAACGGCGTTCACAACCAAGATTGTCAGTTTAAATATTGCCGAACAAAAAAACCCAAACACAAAACTAATGTTACATGATGGTTAATGACAAGACAATTTTGTAATACTCATAGTGCTAATATAGTCGGGACCAGTAGATACACAAAAGAGGGAATAAAGTACAAAAAAGTAAGCCAATGATAATAATTTTAGGTAGCTAAGTATGTTTAAGAAGGTTGTTCACTATAGAGTACAAATAAGAGAGTATAAGGGGGAAATAACAAGGGCCAAAATTATGTTATTAACAACAAAGCAAGTCATAGGTTTCACGCTTAACATTGTTTCTGTCACTTAGAACACGGGCTGGCCAAATATGGTACCGTTGAGTTACTATGCTTGGTTGTACGAGCATATATAATTTTGTACTGATTTCTGGTTCTACCTGATGAGATGCAAAGAGAGAGTTGGGAATAGAGGGGGTGTTGAGGGTCGGAGAGTATGGTTTTAGACAATTTCTCGCATGTATTCAGATGCCTTTCTACTAATGTAGTGACAAGCTGACTGAGTTTTACACCACTAGTCCTACTAACTATCTTCAACATCCTTCTCAGGATGGTATAATCCTTTTTCAGTAACCCAGGAAAGACTAACGGGGAGCAGTAAAGTAGAATAGGTAAGATACGAAAGTTGACAAATTGTGAAAGCAGAGGTTATTGTTTTTTAATTTTTTTTTTTTTGATTTACAGCTTGATTCCACACTGTATTTTTGGTACAAGTATGGAATTTTCAGCATGGATATCGGTAGCCCAAATATTGCAGGCCAACCATAGATATCAGGTGTGCGCCGGCGTAGGCTCGAACCCCGGATCATGTGCATGGTCGGCGAGAGTCCTAACCACTGTGCCACCGACGCATGATTCCAGTTAGTCTGAGTTTCTTAATGTAGTAGGTTAGACGAAACACTTTCGTGGAAATCATTTGGATATGAGTAGACCTAGTAAGGTAGGAAGATAGAACTAATCCGAGGTATTTTGCATTAGACTTAGTTTCAGTTTTAGTCCCCTCAATGCTACAGGCTACAGGCTTCATGAGTGCTTACTAGTGTTTGTAGATCTCGTTTATGCCTAAAGGAGAAGTCAGTAGTCTGGCATTTTGAGGGATTCAGCATGAGGCCATTTAGTTTAGACCACTGACTGATGTCCAACAGGAAGCTACTTAATTTGAAACAGTCTGACTGAGACTTAACAGGAAGCGAAACAGTCTGGTCAACCAATCTTATGTGAAGCACAATGCAAGCGATGGCTGCATGGATGTGGTTCTCTAGTTTTGAATTATATTCATACTTTGATATATATGTGTGTGATGACGTTTTTTTCTCCAAAATATTTATCGTAATAGGTACATTTGATCAGGAGGATCAATCATTCCCATGCTCTACATCGTATTCTGTAACGCCTGGACCAACTGGACCTATCCCAACTTCAAATTTATCCGTAAATCATAATTCGAACAGTCAAAATTTATCTGTGTCTACAATGTGTGGTTTCGATAGCACTACTCCTGACGATAATAATAACAATAATAGTAGTAATTATAATCTATCCTCGACACTATCAAGATCATTGATTGAACGTGATAATAATCCAGATCATTTATGCGGATCAGTACGTATTTTAAATTTTGAAATAGAGCTAGAACTACCATTGGATGATGATGAAAGCGATGTTGAAGTGCAGAAAGTTACTGAGACATTTCAATTTCCTGATACAGAAACTGTTGGTTTTTTAAAATGTCATTTTATTGATTGCCGGTTAACTGAACTCATTCAATTGGCTACCAGTCCAGCATTAGAATCAAAGATAACTGAGTGTAGTAAAGCTAATTTAATGAAGCATTTAGTTTTTGAAAGTTCAGGATCACATTCATTTATGGATAATTCGGTAAGATATTTATTTATTGATTAATTGATTTTTGTTTCCTTTATGACAACGATTTTGAGCCATGTCACCTATTTTCTCCAGCCATTGATTCCTAGAGTCCCGACCGCCCCAACCCAGAAGTCTTCATCTCCATACCTGACCGACTCAGTTTAACTGTCAAGGATTTCATGGATTGATGAGGCCGTGTTTTTGTTTGGCCACCACTTACTCTTTTCCAACCTGCACCACCTATATCAGCTAGTAATGCCCGTCGGGGGGAGGGAGGCGATGGTTAGACATGCGCACCACGTGACCTAGCCATCTCAATCTATGTAACTTTATAGCCTGGTCGATTGATTTTCCCTCTTTGCCTGCCGAACACTCTACGCCTAACGTCAACATTACTTACCTTGTTCAACCACCTAACGTGAGACAGAGATCGTAGACATCTATGATCGAAAGCAGTCAACCTTTTCATGTCTTCAACTTGTATTGGCCATGTTTCAGAGACATAGAGAAGAACGGAGCGAACTGATGAGCACTACACACGTCCCTTAGTTGATAGCTGGCAAACTTGACTGGCTGATAGAATTCAGTCTGCACTAAACACCAAGGACTAGACACATCACCCTAGTTACTGACTAGTGTCCAATCAAAATACCCATTATAGTCCTATAGGAGATCATTCGTGAGTCCGATTAGCTCAGTGGTAACGTCTCTGACTTCAGGCGGCACTAGGTGACGTGGATTCGAATCTCAGAAGGAGGGACATGAGTTCCTTCAAGCTACTTGCAGATACGCCTTGATGACTGGTTAGTGCCTCCAAAGCCTCAGTATGGTCGGGGGTGGGTGCCTTGCGCTGCGGGTTGGCCACCCCTCCGTACACCTCTTGAAATGCTACCATATGACCAGGCGTCTTACATAGCCTCTCCTGAGGAAGTCCTACTCACTGCCTTCACGTGGCGGAGGTGTTTTTCACCGAAGTGAGAGGGCAAAAGCGGATGCCCGGCGCTCTTCACCGGGTTGACTGTCCATTGGATGACAGTCTAGGAGAGATGGCTGAACCCTGATTCCAAACCTCCCACGACTGGCGTATGAAGCTCACCGGAGCTCACCGGCAGACGTATGGACAAAGGGCTTATTGGATGCCCTGGATGTCTGGCCCCATTCAAAAAGGCGTATGAACCGGACTCCGGTCACCGGCTGGCTGTCAATGGATAGTGGACTCCCTACTCCACTCCTACTGTCTTGTAGGTCACACTTGGTTGTGTAAAGGCTAGAGCTGCACTCTCAAACAAAAGGCCGAGCGGTCCTGGGTACATCACTAGTACCTAATTCCCATGAAACTTCATGAACTCTCTACAACATCAACCAAATTCCAGTACTGGTCCAACAACGTCGCCTTCGGTGGTTTGGCCATGATGTTCTGCGCCGACCGGATGACGATCTGGTCAAATCAGTTCTAAATCCCTCGCTTTCCATTTCCATCTTGGCGATGTCGCAGGGGTGGACAGCTGAAAACATGGCTTGGTACAGTCAGTCAAGGCTGATATTGAGTGCCTGGGCTGGGGCTACAAACCGTCTACGGACTCCGTCGTCTGTGAAACAAGAATTGGATAACTCTGTCGCAAAACCTTGCATCAGATCGCCGCGCCTGGGCAGCGGTGATTCGAGATGTTCATGAAGCCGGCTCATCCTCCCGTAGGAGATAGCCGAAGTAAAGTAAGTAAGTGCCAACTAGCACGAAACCTAGTCTAGACAAGGCTTCCTGTGGCCGATTGCCTCCAACCATCTAATTTCATCAAAATCAATGTGCACCGTGATGGTGAGCTACCTTGAATGATGGTCACTGACTGATAGAATTCAGTCTGCACCAAACACGAAGGTCTAGACATATCACACTAGTTACTATTGTCAAATGAAAGTAATTTTATTTGTGATCTATATATATATATATATATATATATATATATATATATATATATAGGATCAGGAAAGACTGAATGACTATCTGGTTTCAACCTAGAACTTTACACAGAAATGCAGCATTATTTCAAGTTGCCATACTCCATGAAGTATACAAAGGAGAGGAAAACAGGATGTTTAAGAGAACAATAATAATAATAAACAGAAATGTAAAGAAAAAAAGAATTGTAGCGTGAAGAAACAGTAGGGTTTATGATGGATATGTCAGATCACAAAAAGACTGAATGCTTGTTCGCCATTGGCAACGATTCTGAGCGATGTAACCAAATTGTCTCCAGCCTTTATTGGTTTTTCTTAACATCTTTAGGATTCCAATGGGATAACCTACACCTTCCTATTTGGCTTAAATGAACACACACACACACACACCTCTTCTTATTGACTTTCCTTCCTTAACCTAACACTCAATGCCTAACTTCAACATTTCACTCACCCTATTATACCACTCAGCGCGGTCTGTCTGTTTGTCTGTTTTCAACATAGAGCTTTGCACCGATGTGCAGCGGTTCAAGTCATCACACTTCACTCAACACACATAGCCAGAGAAGAAAGAGTAGTTTGACTAGAAATTATAAGTCACAAGGAGTGGATGCATCTGCGTTAGCCATTGATAACAACGATTTTGAGCCATATCACCCACCAAATGTTTCCAGCCTTCATTGGTGGCTACCGTCCCAAGGACCCCAACCAGTCAGTCAGGAAGTCAGCACCTTCCTACGTGGCTGGTTGGCTGGCTTAAACTAACTGTTGTGGATTTGATTGACTGATGAAGCCATGTTCTGGTTTGACCACCACTGGCTAACTCTTTCCCAACCTGACCCTATGTCAGCTAACATTGCCCATTGTCGTGGAAGGCGGTGGATGGCTAGGCATGCGTAGTAACACATATCCTAACCATCTCAGTCGCGATGTACCTTCACAACACCTCGTCGATTGATTTCTCCGTGTTATACAATAGTGTCTACATAAGTTTTACAAATAAGCAGCCTCAATGGTGAGATGAGATGAGATGTTCAGTGTATTGTATTAATTCTCACTACATTTTCTCACCAATTTCAGGTACTTTTACGTTCATTGCATCTACCGAAGTGTGTTCGACTTCAAGCGAAACTTAGTCCTGATCCATTACCGGATTCGTAAGTAAACCCATTTTTTTCATGTTTTAATACATTGAAAACTTTTTAATGATCAACAGGTATTTTTTGTTGCTGTTGTTGTTAGACATTTATGTTCACGAATACAGCGTACGTAACTCAATATTCAAGTTTATAGCTGCTGGGGTGGGTGGGTGAATGGGGTGGTCATGTGTTGTGCCTAGTTTTAAGTAGGATAAATGACACAATCAAGTTATATCAAAAAATATAAGAGTGCACTTAGTTAGTATCGTTTTTATTTTTACACATATATTACTCCTCACAGTATCAAGTTTCGTGAGATTCTCTACTGCTAAGTTCCAGTTGCCAGTAATCAGTTTGTTCGGAATATTTTTTATTTATTCCTTCACGTTCGCAGTGGAACATAGGGCTGCTTCAAGTTAGAGGCTTGAAATTTCTGTAGCAGTGGTGTTTATTTTTACGAGATGGGATGATCGCTAACCAGCCTCACGTCCAACCTTTCCTCTTTAACAGCTTTTATTTCTGGCCTTGGCGAGGTAAAGGAGTGCGTCGGTGGCCGGGGATCGAACCCCCGACCATCATAAGAGAAAACTTCACATTGGTATTGACACTCGTACTCAACGTAGGAAGCAACTAATGCAGAAAACTAGGATGTTCTATACATCTGAAAGAGTGGCGTGTTAATAACTTTATTCACTGCGTCTCCCTCCCAGAACATCAACATCCTAGTAGCGTTCAGTACATACCCATTTTCAAGTGCTGGTTTGCAGAGATTTGATTGGCCACTGGATTTCAGCATAAGTTGTCATTGGTTAGAGAAACATTGGGAATCACTGCTAGAGTACTGGACAGCTGTTTTTTCTCCTAGTTTTGGGACTCTTCAACAGTGTGCACTATTGAGCCTTTGGGACTCGATACAATCGTCAGCACATGAATTCTAACTTTTGCCAATTCACGATATAGCGTGAACGACTAGCCAGTGTCATCGCTGGCGAGTATTTGTCCTCTTATCCGACCAGCTGTACCCCACTGGTTATAACCCAGGTAACCACCTACTTGGATAAGGCCAGTCCACCTTTTTCACTTTAAAGAAACTACAAGTCTTCGACCCTAAGGTATTGATTCTGCTGGTGTTAAATTTACCACTAGAAGTGTTAGATACCTCATACAAATCACAGGCAATACGTAAAAAGCTGGTTTCAGACACCTGAAATGTGACACTGGATCCTCCTTTTAGGGGAAAGGCGAGGAAAGATGTAGGATGGCGTGGTCTGCAGCGGCAACTCGAACTGCTGCACTTCGGTGCCAAGTTCTATGTTGAATCCAGACAGCCAGACAGAATGGCGTGGTATGCTTCAGTTTAAAGACAAAACCACGCAGAGTGTGGGAAAATTACTTTGGAAAGCATCACTAGAAATGTTAGACAGTAATTGTGTTGACCTGTTAAACATGTGTAGGTGATCTAGCTACTGATGAGTAGGGTAGAGATACGATCCGTGTATCCACAGTCTGATCAGCATCAGGTCTTTTCTGTAGAAATCAATTTTTCACGCATTTTATAAAGCCTATGAGCATGGCACCAACCAGTGTTTTAGATCTTGCTGGTAACTGACGTGTAACCCCATAAATTGTCACATGCATTACGTAAGTCCCTTTTAAGAGTAGTCAAAATGATGGCATCACTTCACACTGATATAGATACTCCTAATTTTTCATACTCTCCTAAACATTCCTGTCAGTTCTGTGACTTGAGTCTCATAATCATCCTTGAGAAGAGCCAGGGATAAGCTTTCTGATCCGGGTGCCTTGTGACGCTTGAGCTCCTCCTCTTCTGTAGGTGGATTAGTATTAACCATCCTTGGAGCATTATAATATAGAATATTGTATACTGGGTTTGTGAACCGGTTGAATTGTTTTTCTAAATGCCCCCCCCCCCACCCAGCGTTACAGGCATCTTTACATAAAAAACATCTCTGTGATACTTTTCTTCTTCTTGATGCCGATATTTTCGGGTGAACTGAAACAACTTACGACAATTACCAGATAGATACCGGTGCTAATTTTCATCCCGCGCGCACGCTCTGGACGTCAGGCTTCATAATCATTATTTGAGTAATTCGATTTTTTGTGTGTAGGAGTCTAACGTATGTTATCTCACTCGGTGTCTGCCAGAATGAACCGACAGGCATCAAGAAGTTGCAAAGAACTCACAGGAATCCAATGGTTTTTAACGGGAACCTATTTTATGCCGTTAGAGGTTTTACTTATCATCCTCGTGGCGTCTTGTATTTGGAATGGTAAACTTGGCGCGCACACACACACACACTAAAGCATGATTAGAATCCAGATAAATGCTGGAGAAGGAACAGAAATTCTGTATGTGAGCTATTGGAAACGAGGAGTAAGTATCAGAGGGGGGAGGCTGCCAGATAGCACAAACTCGATGGATTTCCCAAAAGTGAAAGGCTGTGATCTGTGCAATGCGGTAGAAGGTGGTCCTCACTACCTGACCTGATTTGACTTACGACTGTCTGGCTCTCATTAACTGTCTAAAACGAATTTCATCTGGGTGTAGAAGCCTAAACTGTGCATTCAAAACCTCCGCTATTACTATGATATCTGTCAAGCTTTATTAGCTATGACTTGCATCCTGGTTCAGTTTTACTTAATAATAACTAAAAGAATTAAAATTTTAGATGTGTGTTTCATCTTTATTTGCATGTCATCAGATGGGTGTATCTCCATCATAGTGAATAACACTGTCCTAACTGATTAGCCACATAGAGGATAAAACATGTGTCTTGTTGTAATTAAGTTTATTTTTTTTTACTATTTGGATGGAATTCAAGTGTTGGTTTGCAGGGATTTGACTGATTTCTACTTATATCACGGACACTAAACTGAAAACTAGGGAGACCTTGACAGCTGTTTCGTCCTCACTTCGGTCTCTTCATCATTGCACGCACATGACCCTCTGCTACTGAGGATTGAATCCAAGATCTTCGGGCTACGTGAGGTAAGTCTGTCAGCTCTTAATCTAACTTGAGACCAATCAAACTCTGGCAAACCAATGGGATGAAATTGCCGAGTGTTCTAGTGAGAATTCGTAGCCAGTAGGTTCCCCTCCCACCCAGTTTGGGTGTAGAGACAAATACTTACCGATGGATAATAACCTTTTCTGAAGAAGGTGTCGCTACATATATCGTGAATTGGCAGCAATTCAAATTCATGGATTCGTCATCCATCGGATTCCTTCGTAGTGACTCCGATGGTCCACAGGCTAGCCTTGTAACCTCGGTTCGACCTTCAGTAGTGGGCTCCTGAGTCATAGAAAGTCTTAAACTAGGAAGAAACGTCCGTCCGGCACTAGTAGTAGGGTGGTGAGAGCTGGCTGCTAACCAAAGTTGGTAGACAGTAATTTACGTCAATGTTTATGTCCCCACATTATTGGTCGTCAGAAAAATGAGAGCAAAGGCTTTACGTAGGCGGATACATTTAGCATATAGATGATCTGACATTCAAGAAACAGTCACAGTATTGATTTTACTTGATCAGCTTTATTGATCTCGATTATCATGTAAGAGACCTTTTTATTACTTTTCTCCTTCATCCGCTTCCTTTCGCTTTGATTCACATAGAAGTACGTCCACAGTGAGTAAACTCAGTGAACCAGTGAAACTTTATATCAGTTTATATGAAGATGCAACCAGAAATAGCGGTAGTAGTAGCAGCAGAACAACTCGTGATACTGATGAGATGAATGCAGATACCATCCGCCCGTCCTCGTCATCATCATCAGCAGCAGCAGGTGGAAATCGTCGTCAACAACTACGTAATGCTGTTAGATCCATTTCACCTTATGCCTATCATTGTATGCGTCTCCCGTTAAGTTCACGTATATCACAGATACGTAGTAATCTATTTCGTATTACTGGGATCCCAATACCATGTCAAACATGGTGTATCAGTGATAAACAATCACGTAGTCATCATCATCAACGTCTAGTCAATGAACAAATGCCATCCAATGATATTTTAAATTTACTAGTCAATGAACTCAACTATCATCATCAACGACAAAAACGTAAATCTACCTCTTCAACTGTACCAGACTGTTCTTCAATGATCACGTCTACAACCCCAACAACAACAACAACACCTGTGGATACTCTTCTAACTGGAAAAAAGCCTGAGAATCCAACTTTAGCTGATATTGGCTTGAAAGCTGGCGATGTCTGTGAATTATGCGTAAGTTCACCTGTTCTTTTATTCCTTTTACGTTCCCAGTGGAACACAGGGCTTCAAGCAGTAGCAGGGGGGTTGTTAACCTCATACCCAACCTATCCCCTCTTTGTCGGGATTATAACCGATTAAAGGAGGTAAAAGTGTGCGCCGGCTGGGACTCGAACCCTAGACTACGTGCATGGTCGACCAGCGGTCTACTGCTGAACCACCGACTCACTTGACGTTCAATATTGGCTTGTTTTCGTCCTTAGACAGGACAGTTTTGATTGTGTGTGTATGTTCACCTATTAATAAGTGTATAAAATGCACCTGTTTTAAGAATGCTAGCCCATTGGTAGCTCATTGACCTCCACACTTAACGAGGTGTTGTTGACTCAGTGGAGATACAGTTCATTTGATTTAAGCACTTGGTTTTCAGTTGATGGATCACAAGTTCGAGTCCCATTGCACCTAATTCATCAGCTTAGTCAACTATGAGTGTAGCATCATCAGCTGCCAAACAATAAATGCAGTGCTCCTAGTTTGGTACACGGAAAATTTGTACCGAATAATTGAGCTCAAATGAATTAAACATGAGGTACACCCTATCGATAGGTAGAGGTAGTTATCCGATTCAAATCCTAAATGGCACATTTATTCCAATTTGACTATTTGTTGTATAGCGGAAGAAACCTCTTGCGAACTCGTCGATAATTTAAAAGAAGAGGCTTTCAAGTGAAGAGTTACTCTTTTCAACTATGTCATTCTCAGGTTAGCTGTAAAATCAATCGCATATGTATACATGGTCTATTTGTCTGTCTGGTTTCAACATAGAACCTTGCACAGATGTACACCAGTCCAAGTCGCCACACTTCATTCATGACACAAAGCAAGAGAAGAAAGTAACAAGAAATGCAAAATAGAGACAGTAAACAGAGATATGAGACAAAAAGAATTGTAATATCGAATAACAATATAGTTTCATTGGCTATTATAGGTTACAAGGAGTGGATGCATCTGTGCAAGCCGCTGAGGACGATTTTAAGCCATATCACCGTTTGTCTTCAGTTTTCATTGGTGTTACCGTCCCGAGGACCCCAACCAGTCAGTCAAGAAGTCTACACCTTCCTACGTCACTGGCTGGCTTAAACTAACTGTTGTGGATTTGATTGACTGATGAAGCCATGTTTTGGTTTGACCAACACTGGCTCTCTCTTTTCCAACGTGACCTTATGTCAGTTAAGATTGCCCATCGTCGAGGAAGGCGATGACTAGGTATACGTAACACATGTCTTGACCATATCAGTCGATGTAGCTTCACAGCCTCATCAACTGATTCCCCATCCTTACTCATCACTCGACCGATGCCTAACCTCAGTATTGCTCACTTTATCATACAACTTCATATAGGAGATAGAACGTAGACACCTATAATCAAAGACAGCTAGCAAGGCTTTTCATGTCTCCCACTTTCAATGGTCACATCTCACAGTCGCATAAGTAGACGGAGCGGACTGGTGAGCAGTACACATGTCCTTTGGTCGACAGCCATCCAGATATCACGTCTTTGCCAGAGACGGTGTAAACTGGCATATGCGGAACAAGCCTTCTGTTCTGAGATTTTGTCAGCGATGAACCCACTGGCACTGGCTGATGCAACTTTACAAATAAGTGAAGTGGTTAACGTGCTCTACCACTTCACTCCCCATTTCTAAGTTAGGAGTTAGTGTAGTCCAATCCTGTAGCATCATCTTACATTTGAATAAGGGAGCGAATCGCATGCTAAACACTCGTAGATTGCAGCCCAAAGTGTTCAGAAGACTCTGCTGTATTTTGTCAACGTCTTTACCTAGAAAATATATACATAGTACATTTTCATAGTAACAAAAGGAATGTTTTTCAAGAGGTGATTTGTAAGGATTTGATTTGTTCCAACCCATTTGGGTGTACACACTGATTTGATTATAAGTTCCAAACTATGCTGACGAAACAGCTAGCTAGCTGTCCAGTACTCTAGAACTGGTTTTCAATGGTTCTCTAACTGTAATTTATCAATCCGTGATCAAATTTGAAACTAATCAAAACACCCTATAAACTAACTCTGGAAAAGTAATACGGGTCAAGTGGAGGAAAAGAGGGTTGATCACCGATTCTTTGTTCATCAAATCTACACATCTCAACACCGATACCGGAGAGCTGAAAAAAATAACAATAGAATCAAAGGATGTGAAATAATTGAATCATATAAACGGAATATGAAAGTTATGTAAGAGTACCTTCCTGAAACATGGCCAATACGAGTTGAAGACATGTAAAGGTTGACTGCTTTCGATCATAGATGTCTACGATCTCTGTCTCACGTTAGGTGGTTTAATAAGGTAAATAATGTTGACGACGTTAGGCGTAGAGTGTTCGGCAGGCAAAGAGGGAAAATCAATCGACCAGGCTATAAAGTTACATAGATTGAGATGGCTAGGTCACGTCACGTGGTGCACATGCCTAACCATCGCCTCCCCCGACGACAGGCATTACTAGCTGATATAGGTGGTGCAGGTTGGAAAAGAGTAAGTGGTGGCCAAACAAAAACACGGCCTCATCAATCCATGAAATAAATCCTTGACAGTTAAACTGAGTCGGTCAGGTAGGGAGATGCAGACTTCCGGGTTGGGGCCCTCGGGACTGACTCTAGGAATCAATCAATGGCTGGAGACAATAGGTGGTGACATGGCTCAAAATCGTTGTCAATGGTCAGTGCAGATGTATTCAGTCTCTGTAATCTTTCATATTCCTTTCTACTGCATTACCAATTCTGTTTCACTCTTATACTTGTCAAACTCTATTGATTCTCGTCACTCATCTTCTTGTCTACCTTTGTGTGCTATTTGGAACGTGGCAACGGAAACTGGTGCACTTGGGTGCCAAGTTCTATGTTGAATCCAGACAGACAAATAATACCGTATAAGATTTCATCATGAGCTGACGTCGGTTAGAGAACTACTGGAAAACCTGAGAGTACTCGACGGTTATTTCGTCCTAGTTTAGGACGCTTTAGTAGTACGCACCCACGAATTTCCGGTTACAAGACTAGCGGGTTAGTAGACCATTAAGCCACCGGAACTCGATCCAATGACGAGTCTATGAATTCCAACTTCTGCGACTACTAGCACAATATGTTATTGATAATAAAGTCAGAAGTACAATTAAAAATAAAAGTAATATTTACAGCTATCCTGTGTGACACCAGGGGAGACAACTATGCTAGATTGTGATTGAAGACCATGAGAGAGGGTGGGTGGGTTTAACAAACTTTTTCTTATGGTGACTGCCTCACCTATGTCTGGCAATCGAAGATGCACAAGCTTTAGGAATTGATATGTAACCTTGTATAGAATTGTGTAAAAGTTGAATTTTTATAAATCTTGCTATCCCCATATCCACATGGTGTGCCAATATGGAAGTCCGGATTGATTGTACGACTCTTTCAGCTAACCACGTTGGATAATGTTCGAGAAGGCGACAGTGGACTTGTCCAATCTTTGTGCTCAGAGAGAGAGAGAGTTTGTTCTACCCCTCTCCCTCCCATGGCCTTCAACCCCAACCTAGAACAGTTATCTCTCCCGGTGACAACGGGTAGCTATAAATGGCTTAATATTCTGCAAGCTCACCTTGTAACCGGAAGGTCCTGGTTTGAAGCCCAGGTGGGTGAGTACCGATAAAGATTCGCAAACTAGGCTGTCGAAACAGTTGTTAAGTATTCTCAGGTTTTCCAATTCGCCTTCTAACCAACGTCAGTTCATAATGAAATCCTAAAACCAACCAAATCCCTACAAACCAACACTTGAATGCAGAGCATGATATTTGTTAGAGGATGTTAGATGTAACTAACTAAGTAAGAATGAAAAGAAGTCAACATTCAATAAAAGGTTCATATTATCATCAATTAAGAGACACCCACTGAAGAGACCGTCTCCAGGCCATCGGTCCGAGCGTCACGCAGACAAGATTGTACGAGGAGGCGATGAGAGACAGACTATGGTCATTCATTTGGGAGGCTAGTTTATAAAGAGGATCACAGAAAATAGGAAAAAGTGAAAATATGTACTCTTGAAGCTGTTCGTATGTTCCACTAGGAATCGAAGGGAACAATAATATCATGCATATTTATCCCCCTTGATGAATTTGAATAAAGCAAGAACAACAGTCTGTCTGTCTGTTTTCGACATAGAACTTTGCACATATGTGCACCAGTTCAAGTCGCCACACTCCGTGTAGCACGCGAAGCAAGAGAAGAAAGTACAAGAAAAACATAATAGAAACAGTGAGCAGAGGTGTGAGACAAAGGAGGAGTTATAACAAAGAAAAAAACAGTTTCATTGGAGATCATAAGTCACAAGGAGTGGATGCATCTGCGCTAGCCACTGAGAACGATTTTGAGCCATGTCACTAATTGTTTCCAACCATAGATTTTTACCGTCCCGAGAACCCCAGCCTGGAAGTCTACACCTTCCTACGTGACTGGCTTAGACCAACTGTTGTGGATTTCATTGACTGGTGCAGCCAAGTTTTTGTTTGACCGCCGCTAGCTTTTTTCCAGCCCGACCCTATATCCGCTAACATTGCTCGTCGAGGAAGGCGATGACTAGGCGCATACGTAACACATGTCCTAACCATCTCAGTCTTTGTAGCTTCACGACTTCGTCGATAGATTTCCCCTGTTTACCTAGAACTCTACGCCTAACCTCCATGTTGCTCACCTTATTATGCCACTTCACACAGGAGATAGAACGCAGGCACCTATGATAAAAGACAGCTAGCTAATCTTTTCATGTCTTCCACTCTCAATGGCCAGGTCTCACAGCTGGCCATAAAGGAGGACGAAGTGGACTGATGAGCAGTACACCCGCCCTTTGGTCGATAGTCGAACATCTCGTCTACGCCAGAGTCGGCGTAAACTGGCAAATGCGGAACAAAGAACAACAGTGGTGGTTTGGACAAAGTAATTATGATACCATCCTGTGTTTATTTCGTTGGTTTCTCATCAGCTGCTCACAGCCTAAATAAATTATGAGATTTACATACAGAAAGTGCGTCGGCACAGCGGTAGAGTGTTCGCCGACCACTCAGGTGGTCCGTGGTTCGATCCCCGGCCACCGACGCACTGCTTTACCTCTCTCTAAGCCTGTAGTGAGACTGATAAAGGGGAAAGGTTGGGTATGAGGCTGGCTAGCAACCCCATTCTGTAAAGATAAACACCACTGCTACAGAAACTTCAAGCCTCTAGCTTGGAGCCCTATGTTCCACCGAGAACGTGAAGGAAAAAAGCGTACAGAAAAGTTTTAACATACTTGCAAATTTCCTTCATGATGTCAGTTGACAGAAAGTTCCGCAGTTAGTGAACCGTGATCAGAAAATTGCGCTTATATAGTTTTTACACATGCAGTTCATGTTTAAACAAAATAAATGTGTGCATACAATGGTAAAGGAGTTACGTAATAAGGACGAGAGATGCGTAAAATGCTGAGTGACTAATAAATTAGGTAACAATGTACTGAGTTCCACTCAAATCATAGAAACAAGAGACAAGCAAATTACACTATGTCAAAGGGGTGAGGTTAAAACAAAGGATTACGTAATCAAATGAGAGATAAAAAGACATCCAGTTACCAAGGCAAGGAAAGACTAATAACTGCTTTTTTCTGAGCACACATAAATCTGGTTTCAAGCGTTTGCTAGAAATTGCTTCGGCAAACTTGAGGAGAATGGAGCTCCTCTGTCTATTGATAATTTTAAAGGATTTCGTGATTTCCACCCCATGACCACGCGTATCGAAGAGATGTCTGGTGGTAATAGCGCTATTATATAGGAGTTTCTTCCTCCCTTGAGACGTAGGCTTTTTGGCACATGTTCAGAAAATCGGAGGTGTGCCCTTCTTTCTGTTCTCCCAATGTAACTGCTCCCGCAAATACACGTAAATTTGTATACACAATTGGAGTTAACATGAGAATAATAATAATGATGATAACAAGGTTAAAAGATGAGTTACTAAGGTAGATAAGTGCGTCGGTGGCATAGTGGTTAGGACCCTCGCCGACCATGCACATGGTCCGGGGTTCGAGCCCACGCCGGCGCACACCTGATATCTATGGTCGGTCTGCAAAATTTGGGCTACCGATATCCATGCTGAAAATTCCATACTTGTACCAAAAATACGGTGTGGAATCAAGCTGTAAATCAAAAAAAAGATAAGGACTTATTACTCCTTTCTACTTTGTATACGGTAAATCAGGTTTCTGCAGTGTGTGATAGCGATATGGCCTCGTAAAACTTCAGGGAGACTCTTGAGCATTGTATGTCTTTTCTATTAATATTTCAAAAGATTTCTTGGTGTCATATTAAAATGGAGAAGACGTTCAGCGAAGAGACTCTTTTCGACGGTGAATTCATTCACATAGCTAGGTGTACAATCGCATTTATATATAATTATTTGTGTGTGTGTGTGTGTGTGTACATGAGGTTTGTCAAGTTTGGATGATTAATCAGGTAATAAAAGAATGATGTAATATAGAAACAAGGTTAATCAGACAGCAACTAAAGTAAGATTGAGTTAGTTAGTAAGTTAGATGATGACGTAATATAACTGACGAAAATGTTTCAACTTAGATCAAGGTGGCAACGGAGGTAATTACATGTAAAGACTAAGTAGAAGTGGGGTAGAGAATAATGCCATTTTTGAATTAGAACTGGAATTGAGCAAATCAGTTGGATGACGTAACATTAAATGACTAGAAATTGAGCGATGGTCAAGTCAGTAACCTTGTGGTAGTGAGGTGTAGAAATTAAATCGGGTGGGGGTAGAGAACAAGAAAGTTGAAAATGTAAAATATTACAATTGAAAAGACAAAATAATACTAATGAAGAGACAGGCAAAAAGAAAAAAGATTAGTTAGAATTTACTTGTAGGGTAATATGACAGATTACGTCCATTGCTGCAAGTGTAGTGATTGAACGAACTTCTATCAGATGTTCTAAGATGGAGCTGTGGGAGGGGGCATCATTTTTCTCCTTTGTAAAACCATCACAGTGAGTAAGTGTTCGGTGATACGTTAGATCCAGGTATCTCATGACTGTGTTGTGTATAAAAAGACTTTAAATCGAAGATAAGCTCTTCCTTCTGTTCTTCCAATGTATGTACATATGTACGTACGTATATGGCGTAAAGGTAACCAAAAATGTCTTCTCTTATCTATATTTTATTCCCCCTCACCTTCGACTAGTTATTCACTTCACATTCAGTTGGCAATACAAAAGATCGAAACAGAACAACAGGTATTTTACAAAATGATGATGATATCCTCCAGTGTGAACCGCCATCAACTGCTAGACAACCTCAACAACAATACCAAAGGAAATCGCCATCATCATCGTCAAGAACAGCAGCAACGGCAGCCACCACCACAACAACAACACAACATCCTCTTGATAGTATTTTTCTGCCACCTAGTTCTAATCTACCTACTCCTATACAACCGGAAATATTATCCAGTGCAAATAAATCTAGTCGAAAGGTGTCGTCGTCAGCGCCTAAGAAACAAAGTGGTACATTTGATGGCGGTAATATAACCCCAGATATTGTAAGTTCATCATGTTCGGGGGGTTTTTTCCCTGTGTTTTTTGATAATAATAATAATAGTCTACTTTATTCCGAAAACAATACTAGTGGTACAGTTCATGCCTAACACTATTATCATCACATAAAGTACGTGCCAAATCAAATATGGTATAGTGGAATTTTTATACCTAGACGTACTTGCATAAAGTCTTCTGTAAAGACTTCTAATTTTACCTGAGGAGGAGACACAAGGTTGGAACTGTGGGTGCTTCGGTGGATGTTCACCGTCTGACAAGATTCCTTTAGCAAATTTGTTGCATGAAATCAAGTGTTTATCATCAATGACAATGTCAACGATATGGCGCAATGGGATACCACCACTACTCGCCCTACTGACAGTCTTCAGAGGTCTACGAAGTATGTATGACACAGTCTTTTTTAAGCAGTCCAAAAAACAGTAAGGGTGAACAATAAAGAAGAATAGGTAAGATGCACGAGTTGACAAATTGCAAATGGAGGAGGGGTTAGGTTATGCCTGAGTGCCTTAACTTCTTAATGTAGAAAGTCAGGCGAAATATTCTTTTAGAAATCGCTAAGACATGGGAAGACCAGGATAGGTAGGTCAGAAGAAAGAATTAATCCAAGATACTTAACTTCAGACTTGGTTTCTATGTCAGTATCGTCAATTTTGCAAGGGTCATAGGAACCAACAGCGTCATTTAACTTTCGTTTACATCTAAGACTGAAATTAACAGTCTGACATTTGGAATGATTTAGTTTAAGGCGCCGTTAGACAAAGACGATTTGCTAATTCCTGATAGAAAGCTGTTCATCTTAGTACAGACTAGCTGGGAGTTAACAGACATTGAAATATACAATTGGTGGATGGTGGCTAGCAGTGGAATCCAGAGATGCGCATTTCGTCCTATTTGGGACTCGTCAGCTGGATGTACCTGCATTTCTCAGTGAGTGATGATGTTCCCACCGAGGCTCGAACCCAGTACCCATAGTTTCGAACGCCAAAGCGTTATCCACTAGACCACTTGAGCCACGAGAGCCACCTCTTGTGCAACGGGTCATATTAATTATTGAATTGAATTTTTGATTTTCCCGTCGATTGATTGGACCGAAGTGCTCGGTCTCAGGTTGACATATCGGCTTCTTGTGCAGATGCTTCGACGATGTCTGGGCGTTTAATTAGCATACAATGGGTGGCCCAAGTGGTCTAGTGGATAACGCTTTGGCGTTTGAAACTATGGGTACTGGGTTCGAGTCTCAGTTGGAAAATCATCACTCACTGAGAAATGCAGGTACATCCAGCTGACGAGTCCCAAATAGGACGAAATGCGCATCTCTGGATTCCACTGCTAGCCACCATCCACCAGTTGTATACAAATCAAATCCCCAGACATCGTCGAAGCATCTGCACAAGAAGCCCATAGACATGTCAACCTGAGACCGAGCACTTCGGTCCAATCAATCGACGGGAAAACCAAAAATTCAATTCAATAGACATTGAAATAGTTAGATCGTCCGCATAATTAACAAAGTTCATTTCACCATCAGAGTGATGCAGTTCATGCAGGAAGAAAAAAGATGAAGAAAAAAACAGCGCTTTGAGGGATACCAGCCTCACTAAGCAAATGAAGTGGACGACTTCCCCTGACACACAGTGTACTGCTTTCTTCCTGAGAGATAAGAATGCTGCAGCCAGCTGACAACACAACACTCAGTTTGAGTTTCAGCAAGCTTATTTAACAAAAAAAATATCCCTAGATACCACTGAGTCAAAAGGCAGATGTGTAATCTAGAAAGACGCAGTGAACAAATTTCACCCCTTTGTCTAAACGGGTATTATAAATCATGCAACAATCAAGAATGTGTCTCCACTAGCCATTGAGAACGATTTCGAGTCATGTGATCAATTGCCTCCAGACACAGGTTCTTAAAATCCCAAAGACCTCAACCAGTCAGGAAGTCTACACCTACCTGTGTGGCTGGCTGGCTGACTGGCTTAAACTAACCGTCATGGATTTCATTGACTGATGACGGGATGTTTTGGTTTGAGCACCACTAACCCTTTCTCAACCTAATCTTATGTCAGCTAACATCCTCCGTCGAGGAAGGCGATCACTAGACAGAAACACGTAACACACCCTAGGCTTCTCAACTGGTGTAACTTCACAGTCTCGTTTATTGATTCCCCCTCTTTACCTAGCAATCAACTGAAGTCTAACCTCTATATTGCTCACCCTATTATACCACTTGACATTGGAAGATGAAAAGGCGACACTTATGATTGAAGGCACAGCTAGCTAGCATTTTCATGTCTTCTACTTTCAATGGCCACATCTTACAGCCAGCCGTAGAGAGGAGGATGGAGCGAACTGCCGAGCAGTGCACACGCTTTTTGATCCATTAAATTCTCATGTTTCTCCATGTTACTATTCTTTCACCACCCGTACGCTTCTACTTTTCAATCTTTTTTCTCCTCTCTTTCCCTTTATTATATGGAGTTTGGTAACTTGAAATGCTTCTCCACACTTTTATGCCTAGATCCACGCTAAATACTCAATCATTTATTATTTATTTGAATAATGCATTAAGAAGAAAAATTTCGCGAGATGATATCTTCATTTCGTAGTTTCTTTACAATCGCTCTACAACTAACATAGTTAACAATGATAAAATAAAATAAACTTCATGAAAATTACTCAGTTAAATAAAAAACAAAAGTACATATTAATGACCAATCATATTCAGATAGGTCATGTAGTCCAGGGTAGGCGAAGATTGAAGTCTATTGATTTTTGTGCACACAGTTTAGGCTGTATGTGATTAATCCCCAAAGTGCTTCCATCACCTTCAATAACCTTGAATTAGAGTTGTGTGAAAATAATTGTGAAGCAGTCATTAATATTGATTTTGTGACCAGACATTAATAAGTGTTTTGCAATGAATGATGCTGGATTTCTATTAAGATTAATCGCGTTAGGATTTTCGATATGATTTACTAGCCATTTTGGAACATGTTCTTTTCGACGATATTGGAACATTCTGTTGGTTCTACCTATATAGGTGTCACCGCAGCTGCAGGTGAACTTGTAGATACAGTTTGAAGTAGAGTCCACAGAATTTCGTCCTTTAATCGTAGGAACAGGGATCGAAAATGTTCGGCAAGTGAGAAAAAGAAATGCGGCGTAGAATGTGTGTTTGATGGCTGACCGAAGTCTTTGAGCTGTCAACTGCATAATCTGGTCACCCTTGAATGGTAGATTAATAAAGATAGCTTTCTTTGGTACAGAAGCTGTCTTTTCAGGATGTGGTCTATCTTTACTGTGACAAGTGATGAAGTTTTCTGGATAACCATTAGCTAGTGAAACTGAATGTATGCGTCGAAGCTCATCCATCAATGTGTCACTCGTGCTTATTTTTCGGGCCCTTGAGAACAAACATTTCACCAGGGAACGTTTATACTGGATAGGAACAAAACTGGTAAAATGAAGATATTGTCCACTCCATGTCTGTTTACGAAAAATAGAGCGCTGAATCGTTCCATCATCTCTCCTAATCATAGTAATATCCAGGAAACCGAGTTTGTTATTGGATTCTAGTTCCGAAGTCACTGGAATATTTGGATGAATATGATTAAATAGAGTAATGAAGTTTTCAATAGATTTGCTATTATTACTAATAATAAGAGTATCATCTACATAACGTTTGTACAGCATAAATCCTCCAAGCATACTTTGCATTTGTTTCTCTAATTTCGACATAAATATATCTGCTAACAGGGGCCCCAGAGGGCTCCCCATTGCAACACCATCGATTTGTTTGTATGCTTTTCCTTGGAATGTGAATCTAATATTTTCTGTACACATTAAGATGATGTCTTTGATGTACGTTGCAGGCATAGGTAAGTTTATCCCGTTGCTTGTGATGTAGTCGCAAATGAAATCAACAGTTTCATGAAGGGGAACATTGGTGAATAAAGATTCTATGTCAATTGAACACATAACCTTTTCCTAAATGTTCAAGGTGTCTAGCATTTCTGTAAGATCAAATGAACTTTTTACAGAATGATTTGATAATGAGTCTCTTACAGGCGTAAGGACCTCTGTAATCCATTTGGCGATTTCATGGTAAGGAGAATTTGACATGTCTAAGATGGGTCTCAGTGGGTTCCCAGTTTTGTGGATCTTCGGAAGACCATAAAGCTGAGGAGTATGTGACCCAATTGGTTTAAGTTGTTTATAAAGTTTTTCATTTGTAAAACCATGCATCAGTAAAATCTGAAGCTGACGATTGATCTGCTTTTCCACAAACAGCACATTATCAGTAGCATTGTCCACCACATCTTGAAAAGACAGCTTCTGTACCAATGAAAGCTATCTTTATTAACCTACCTACCATTAAAGGGTGACCAGATTATGCAGTTGACAGCTCAAAGACTTCGGTCAGCCATCAAACACACATTCTACGCCGCCATATTTCTTTTTCTCACTTGCCGAACATTTTCGATCCCTGTTCCTACGATTAGAGGACGAAATTCTGTGGATTCTATTTCAAACTGTATCTACAAGTTCACCTGCAGCTGCAGTGACACCTATATAGGTAGAACTAACAGAATGTTCCAATATCGTCGAAAAGAACATGTTCCAAAATGGCTAGTAAATCATATCGAAAATCCTAACGCGATTAATCTGAATAGAAATCCATCATCATGATCCATTGCAAAACACTTATTAATGTCTGGTCACAAAATCAATATTAATGACTGCTTCACAATTATTTCATCACACAACTCTAATTCAAGGTTGGTTATTGAAGGTGATGGAAGCACTTTGGGGGATTAATCACATACAGCCTAAACTGTGTGCACAAAAATCAATAGACTTCAATCTTCGCCTACCCTGGACTACATGACCTATCTGAATATGATTGGTCATTAGTATGTACTTTTGTTTTTTATTTAACTGAGTAATTTTCATGAAGTTTATTTTATTTTATCATTGTTAACTATGTTAGTTGTAGAACGATTGTAAAGAAACTACGAAATGAAGATATCATCTCGCGAAATTTGTCTTCTTAATGCATTATTCAAATTGATCAAATGAGGACTAATTTTTTCAATATTATTTGTTTATTTAAACGCATAAAGAAATTGGTACAATATGGCACCAAGAAGGGTGTGCCGCACAATAATGATAAAACATCATAGATGAAAAGAAAAAAAGAAAGAAGAGAAACATATATATATATATATATATATATATATATATATATAAGTAGAGAACGGATAAAGAATTTCATCTGGAAGGAAAAGAGTCATGCTTAACAAGGTCAAACAGTATTCGTTAAATATCATCGAGAAGGAAAGAAAGAAGGAAATTGCAACAGATGTAATAGCACGCGATAAGTTTCATTGATTATTTGTTGGTTCATTCAATTCATTGTGTAAGGGTTGAGATACTACACGGGCGCCCAGACCGAAGCAGGTGGTTTTTATTAAGGGACCACCCCCCACCCGAGCCTTTGACTTGGAGTCTAATCCGCAAGGCAGCGGAGCAGCGTCAGTCAGGAGCTGCATTCCCATGACCTTTTCCGGTGACCCATATGTGTTCGTACGCCATTTGATCCGATTGGATACTGGAACCCATGTGCCCCATGGTAACTTGTTTTTAGTTTAACCGCTATCCAGAAAACCTTCATGACACATGGTAGGACCTGCAGGGGCATGAGTCCCAGTCAGTTTAGCTTGTTGGTTCAATACGGTGAATACCCAATCAGTTAGTTAAAGTTGGCTAGAGCTAGTGTGGATTTGAATTTGCTTAGCTTTAATGTTTCCCCTGTTTTCTTTTTGTTTTCCGTGCTTATCTACACACACACACACACACACACACACACACACACACACACACACAGGGTTCTGATGATGAAGATGATTATGATATGGATTATCATTATTCAAGTGATGAAATGCTCGATCAGACGGAAGAGAATAAAATTACCCCATGGAGTATGCCATTAAGTAAGTTATACTATGCTTATATATAAATATACTTACTCGTACATTATTCAATGTATGCTACTGTTTAAGTATTGGTTTGTAGGAATTTGGTTGGTTGGTAACAGGATTTCATCATGAGTTGACATTGGCACGGAGTTAGAATTCATGCACTGACTGGCCATTGGATCGGGTCCCAGTGGCTACTGAATGGTATACGAGCCAGCCAGCCAGCTCACCTTGTAACCAGAAGGTCCTGGGTTCGAACTCCAACGGGGTGGGTTCGTAATGATGAAGAGTCCCAAACTAGGACGAAACATCCGGCTGTCCAATACTCCCTGTTGGGTTTCCCAATGGTTCTCTAACCAATGTCAGCTCATGATGAAATCCTATAACCTAATGTTGTTGTTCTGAGGATTCGATTGTTGTCCCTGTTGTAGAAATGTGTGTGTGTGTGTGTGGGGGGGGGGTCTTTGCATACTCTTTAGTTAATGAAGTCGTCTCTTTTAGCAATGTATGTAACAGACTTGTGAAACAACCTCGATTATGAGAATAAACGGTTGTGTTAAAACTGTATGGGATAAATGAAATGAAATTTACACTTGTGGCATATAACGTGAAGGTTGTATGCGTCAGTCAACATTCTTTTCCTCAGCTTGTATCCATTCACTTCATCTTATTTATTGGACAATAGCTTCTGTCTCTGTTTTCAACACAGAACTGTGTTCGAGTCGCCACACCTCACTCAGCATACAAAGCAAGAGAAGAAAGTAGAAGAAATACAAAATAGAGACAGTAAACAGAGATATGAGACAAAAAGAATAGTTATAACGAAGAACAATATAGTTTCATTGAGTATTATATAAGTCACAAGGGGAGTGGATGCATCTGCACCAGCCTTTGAAAACGACGATTTTGAGCCATATCACCCACCAACTGTCTCCAGCCTTCATTGATATTTACCATCTCGAGGACCCCAACCAGTCAGTCAGGAAGTCTACACCTTCCTACGTGGCTGGCTGGCTTAAACTAACTGTTGTGAATTTGATTGACTAATGAAGCCATGTTCTGGTTTGACCACTTTGTTGGGAGTATACATATAACTACTTATCTCAATCAATCAGTAGTATGTAGTTTTATGCAAGTATGCTTGCTTTCCTGATTACTATTCATGATATCAAGAAGATTGCATATGTTATACTTAATCTGAATAATTTGGTTTGCAAAAGAAACTTGTAACGGCGGAAGACAAGGGGCAGGCGACAGATCGTTTTTTTTAGAAAATCAACAGATATTTATGGATTTTTATGCAAATTACTATTTGTTATTGTTAGCAGAGAAACATGGCATTCTGACTTGTTGTTTTCTTGCTGAAGGTTATTGTTGTTGTGAATGATGCATTGTGTACGCTCGAGAAACCTCCCATTCTCCCTTGACGAGGTGCGCAATGTAACCAGTAAATGCTTGACATGCTGTGAGTTAAAGCCTCAATTTTACAATCCTTCTAATTTCAAACTCATAAAAGCAACCCAACCTTTTGAAAGGTTAAGCATCGACTTTAAAGGAACTCTACCGTCAGCTAGCCGCAATCACTATCTGCTCACGCTGATCGATCAATATTCTCGATTCCCCTTTGCATTCGCCTGTCCCGACATGTCGTCTCATACGATAATGAATTGCCTTTGCCAACTGTTTTCGATTTTCGGTATGCCTTCTTACATACATACCGACAGAGGCGCTGCTTTCATGTCTACCGAATTAAGGGCATTTCTTCTGGAGAAAGGCGTAGCAATCAGTCGTACTACCTCATACAACCCTCAAGTCAATGGGCAGGTCGAGCGCCTCAATGGAACACTTTGGCGTGCCATCACTCTAGCATTAAGACCACGGGGTCTACCAACAGCACAATGGGAGTCTGTTCTACTCGACGCCTTGCATTCCATCAGATCTTTGCTCTGTACTGCAACGAACGCCACGCCTCACGAACGGCTGTTTATCTATAACCGAAGATCGACATCTGGGACAACTCTTCCTACTTGGCTTACTGTACCAGGACCAGTACTTCTCTGGCGGAGTGTTCGTCAGTCCAAATTCGATCCCCTGGTTGAAGAGGTGGAGCTGTTGAATTGTAACCCGCAATTCGCTCACGTTCGCTTCGGTAATGGACGTGAAGATACAGTTGTTCTTCATCATCTGGCACCCAAAGGCGAAGATATTGATCAAGTTGAAAATTCAATACAGGAGGGTGACGCAATTCCTGAGCAACAAGTAAATGGGGATGCGACCACTGATCCTAATATTCTTCGTGAAGAAAATACAACTGATACGAACAATGGGCGTATTCTTTTGGAAAAACAACAACGTGTACGGCCTTACAATTTGCGTACCAGAGAAGCGTGACATAATGGCTCATTCCTTTTCAAGCCGCAGTGAATTTTGTGAACTTTTCTTATAATACGTATCTAATCATATTCATATCTCTACCGCTATTAACACTCTTTTTTCCCTTTATACGTTTAAGCCATTCCGGCTTCATTGTAAAATGAATAAAGCCTAAATTCTTGGTTCATTCGTCTTTTCAAGATTCAAGCATCACTCATCGTTCTAAGACTCAGTCACCTTCGTAGCAATTCTGTCATCTCTTTGTCGTCGTTTCTTAAACATTCCAATCTGCGAATCGTATCTGCCCACATTAAGTCTGCTGTGATTGGTTGTTGAGTTCCCCAAGGTTAGGCTTTGTTCACTTGTTTTCTCCTGGCCCTGATTCGGGACGTAAACATTGACGTAGATTGTTGTCGACAACTTTGGCTTGCAGACAGATCTCACCACAAACTTTTATGGAAATTCCATCTCTCGAACTGTGTACATTGTTTTTATACCTTTACGTTCTCAGTGGAACATAGGGGGCTTCAAGCTAGGGGCTTGAAGTTTCGTTAGCAGTGGTGATTATTTTTACGGGATCGGGTTGCTATCTTCATACCCAACCTACGCTCTTTATCAGTCTTATTACTGGCTTACCGAGGTAAAGGAGTGCATCGGTGGCCGGCGATCGAAGCCCGGACCACCTGTGTGGTCGGTAAACACTCTACCGCTGTGCCACAGACGCAATTGTGTACATTCTGTCTGTCTGTCTGGATTCAACATAGAACTTGGCACCCAAGTGCATCAGTTCCAGTTGCCACGTTCCAAATGCCACACAAAGGTAGACAAGAAGATGAGTGAAGAGAATCAATACAGTCTGACAAGTATAAGAGTGAAACAGAATGGGTAATGGTAGGAAGGAATATGAAAGATTACTGAGACTGAATACATCTGCACTGGCCATTGACAACGATTTTGAGCCATGTCACCTATTGTCTCCAGCCATTGATTCCTAGAGTCAGTCCCGAGGGCCCCAACCCGGAAGTCTGCATCTCCCTACCTGACCGACTCAGTTTGACTGTCAAGGATTTCATGGATTGATGAGGCCATGTTTTTGTTTGACCACCACTTACTCTTTTTCAACCTGCACCACCTATATCAGCTAGTAATGCCCGTCGTCGGGGGAGGCGATGGTTAGGCATGTGCACCACGTGACGTCACCTAGCCATCTCAATCTATGTAACTTTATAGCCTGGTCGATTGATTTTCCCTCTTTGCCTGCCGAACACTCTACGCCTAACGTCAACATTACTTACCTTATTAAACCACCTAACGTGAGACAGAGATCGTAGACATCTATGATCGAAAGCAGTCAACCTTTTCATGTCTTCAACTCGTATTGGCCATGTTTCAGAGCCATAGAGAAGGACGGAGCGAACTGGTGAGCAGTACACACATCCCTTGGTTGATAGCCGGATGTCACGCCTACGCCAGAGATGGTGTAAGTCAGCTGTAGCAGCAGCTCGAGCTTTTCGGATCCGTGGTGAGATTTCATCGCCAATCAGTCCGTCGGTGCTAATACAACTTCCCAAATAGGTGAAGTGGTCAACATGTTCTATCACTCACTTCACTGCCTATCACTAAGTTAGGAGTTGACGTGGTCCAGTCCTGTAACCAGCATCTTACATTTTGCAGGGAGAATCGCATGGCAAACATACGAAGATTGCTGTAGCTCAAGGCGTACATTGCAAATTACGAATTGGATTTTGCAAATTTACAATCCACACATTCTAGACATTCATTTCTCTCTTTTCCCTTGATTAGTGTTGTGACTGTACTTGTTCTATAGTTTCACTAACATCAACGGTTAATATAAGATATCACGTCTCTCATTCTTTTGCTAACTTAATGCTTATTTATGCATTCTCTGAACTATTCAATGACTCTCAACTAATCAAAATATATTGATGTTAACACAGCCTCAGGATGGTCGGGGGTGGGTGTTTTGCGCTGCGGGTTGGCCCGTACACCTCTTGAAATGCTCCCATATGACTGGGCGTCTTACATAGCCTCTCGTGAGGAAGTCCTACTCACTGCCTTCACGTGGCAGAGGTGTTTTTCACCGAAGTGAGAGGGCAAAAGCGGATGCCCGGCGCTCTTCACCGGGTTGACTGTCCATTGGATGACAGTCTAGGGGAGATGGCTAAACCCTGTTTCCAAACCTCCAACAACTGGCGTATGAAGCTCACTGGAGCTCACCGGGAGACGTATGGACAAAGGGCTTATTGGATGATGCCCTGGATGACTGGCCCCATTCAAAAAGGCGTATGAACCGGACTCCGGTCACGGGCTGACAATGGATAGTGGACTCCCTACTCCACTCCTACTGCCTTGTAGGTCACACTTGGTTGTGTAAAGGCTAGAGCTGCACTCTCAAACAAAAGGCCGAGCGATTCTGGGGACATCACTCGTACCCAATTCCCATGAAACTTCATGGTTCATGAAGCCGGCTCATCCTCCCGTAGGAGATAGCCGAAGTAAAGTAAAGTAAGTAAGTGTTTGCAATGAATCAACTTGGAGTGTTGTCAATATCATCTCCTTTCTAGACAATCAACTCATTGTTGCGTAATCCTTCAGTCAATCTGCAAACTAGTAGTGTGTAACAGCAAAAGACAAGGGCGAGGCAACATTTCGTTTATTGAGAAAATCAAAAGATATTTATATATATTTTTACGTACATTATTATTCGTTATTGTTAACAGAGAAACAGCGTCTTCTGATTGGTTGTTTTCTTGCTGAAAGTTATTCTGTTATCTCTTTGTGACTATTTCTTTGATGTTCAGACCACACATCTGTAAATCGTTTCCGTCCACTCAAAGTCTACTGTGATTGGTTGTTGAGTTAGTCTTCGTTTTTGTTTTGTTTTTTTCTCATGCCCGAGGTTTGGGGCGTACGTAAACATTGACGTAAATTGCTGTCTACCTAATTTGGACTAGCAGACAGCTCTCACCACAGTAGTTTCCTTTTGGGGAAAGAAAGAAAAATTTCATAATTTTCAAGTGTTACTTGTCAGGGATTTGATTGATTTCATCTTTTTTTTACTCATAAGCTGACATCATTTCGGGAACCATTGAAAATCAGGGAGTACCGACCGAAAAGGTGTTTTGTACTAGTCAAGGACTCTTGAGCAATACGCGACCCCTACACCACCACTGGCGATGGAACTAGGAAATTTCAACTTGAAAGGCGTTTTTGTTGGCGGTTCAGCCACTGGGATGAAATCCAGCGACATTATTTATCGTCACCGTTAGCTGAATGTGTACCTGCATTCCCACTGAAGGATGTTATATTATCGTCATCGTAACTGAACTTAATTTGAATTGTCAATGCGCACATCTTTTCTACAAAACTGCAACAGTTTAAAACTGCTACACATACTTAAATAAAAAGCATAAATGAAAATAGAACGAAAGGATACAAAGAAATTATGGATAAACGGAAGCGTACACGAGACAGAATAATGAGAATTTTACATATCTGAGAGTTCCTATAGAGTGAACGCATCTGCACCAATGTGATATATTTTGAGTTGCATCATCGGAAGTCTCCAGACGTTCTGGGGACTTTGACCAGACTGTTTACTACATCTTCTTATGCGGCTGGTTAAAATCATCTGTTAAAGACTTCAAGGATGTGTGTGTGTGTGTGTGAATGTGTCAGGCTTTAGTTGGTCCATCTTTATCTACCTTGCAACCTGATATAACATCAGCTCACATTACTCAACGAAGAAGATAGGAGATAGCTTAGCGGGTGTAATGTTGTGTCCTAGTCTTTACACAATACATGTAACCTCACAATGTGGTTGTGATTATCCTTCCTTCCTTAATTAACACTCTTCGTATAACCTCACTATTACTCACTGTATCGTAATATAACACCGACTGAGATAGTTAGGACATGTGTTACGTATGCGCCTAGTCATCGCCTTCCTCGACGAGCAATGTTAGCGGATATATGGTGGTCGGGCTGGAAAAAAGCTAGCGGCGGTCAAACAAAAACTTGGCTTCACCAGTCAATGAAATCCACAACAGTTAGTCTAAGCCACGTAGGAAGGTGTAGACTTCCTGACTGGTTGGGGTCCTCGGGACGGTAAAAATCTATGGTTGGAAACAATTGGTGACATGAATTGAATTTTTGATTTTCCCGTCGATTGATTGGACCGAAGTGCTCGGTCTCAGGTTGACATGTCGGCTTCTTGTGCAGATGCATCGACGATGTCTGGGTATTCAATTAGTATACAATTGGTGGATGGTGGCTAGCAGTGGAATCCAGAGATGCGCATTTCGTCCTGATTGGGACTCGTCAGCTGGATGTACCTGCATTTCTCAGTGAGTGATGATGTTCCCACCGAGGCTCGAACCCAGTACCCATAGTTTCGAACGCCAAAGCGTTATCCACTAGACCACTTGGGCCACGAGAGCTGGCCACCTCTTGTGCAACGGGTCATATTAATTATTGAATTGAATTTTTGATTTTCCCGTCGATTGATTGGACCGAAGTGCTCGGTTTCAGGTTCTGGATTCCACTGCTAGCCACCATCCACCAATTGTATACTAATTGGTGACATGGTTCAAAATCGTTCTCAGTGGCGCAGATGCATCCACTCCTTGTGACTTATGATTTCCAATGAAACTGTTTTGTTCTTTCATTATAATAGAGGTGTTTTGTATTTCCCAATAAATGAAAAAACAAAACGAGACTGTTTTTACTGACGTTTCGCTATTTAATGCCGCTAATAGCTTTCTCAAAGTATTATTAAACCGGAATTTACAAAATCTCAGCATAGATATAACAAAGAATTAGGGGGTGAGAAAAATATAGACTTAGTTCAACTTAAAAGGACATATTGAAAGTCAAAATAACAGTGAAGATCGTTCAAACCAAATATCAAAGGTAATAGTATATCTGTTATTATATCAAAATAAAGTTTACTAACTTGATCATCGTTCGTTAGTCTGGGGTCATTTTTGGTTGTCAAGTTCGAGAATAGGTAAAGGTGACTAAACTAAGTGTAGAATGTGAAATACTTGATTATCGTTCGTCAGTATGAGGTCATTTTGGTTGTCATGTTGGGGAATAGTTAAAGGTAACTAAACTAAGTGTAGGCTGTGAAATACTTGATCATCATTCGTCAGTCTGGGTCGTCTTTTGTTGTCAAGTTAGCGAACTGGTAAAGATAGTAAAACCAAGTGTAGATTGTTGGATTTTATTAGAATTATGAAAGTAGTGTGCGTTTACATAGTGAACTTGCTTATCATATTTGTGTTGATTTTGCTACTTCATGGGGGAGGTGGGTGTTGTAGCCAGTTTAGATTCTGTTTTAGTCCATCATTCCTATTCAGGCAATTTGGATTCCACTTGATATGAAGTGCTTCTGATGATATTAGACGTTCTTTGTGGTTTCTGAAGTTTTTCTGGATGATGATTTCAATATTATCAAAATCAATTTTGTGGCCTGATTCTATAGCATGTAGAGACCTATGGCTGATGATTTTTGAAGTTTTTCTAGTTCAACTGGATTTCTTGATGGTCGAAGAGAAGCTCTACGGTGTTCATTTCTTCTGATTTTGATTTCTCGAGATGTTTGTCCGATGTAGACCGCATCACATTCCGAGCATTTTATTTTGTAGACACAATTAGATAGAGAATCTTTGTTCTTTGTTATTACTCCTCCTCTGTCTCATACCTCTGCTTACTGTCTCTATTATGCTTCTCTTGTACTTTCTTCTCTTGCTTCGCATGCTACACGGGGTGTGGCGACTTGAACTGGTTCACACCGGTGCAAAGTTCTATGTCGAAAATAGACAGACAGACAGACAATATAACACCAGAAATAGATCGCTAACACATGCAGTCAAAAGGCAACTAGTCTTTTCACATCCTCCACTTTCAATGACCACGTCTCATATCCAGTAAAAAAAAAAGACGAAGCGAGTTGTTGCTCAGTGCATGCATCCTTTGATTGATAACCGGGTGGTATCACATTTGCTCCAGAGATAGCGTAAGTTGGCAAATGCCAAACTAGCCTTCTGTGTATCCGTAATAAGATTTTGTCAGTGATCAACCCTTTGGGAAGGGTGATGCTCTACCATCCTATCTTTAAGCTAAGAGTCGTTGTATTCCACTCCTGCAGCCCATCATCTTATATTCGACAAGAGCGGTTCGCATGTCGATTGATCGAATAATTCTGCTCCAGGTAGTTTAAACGACTCTGCATTTGTCAGCGTCTTCCCAAAAAAAGAAGAACAACATCATTCGCATACCCTAAAGTTGATAAGCTTATTCCTTTGGTAACAGGTCTAGGTCGTTAAAATCACTTAGGGTCAATTTCATTAGCACATTAATGATCAAATTAAAGGAGTTTAAGACCTGTATGAGGAGTTACCATGGTAACATTTGTAAATTAATAATTGTGTATTACTACATGCTGCTTTTATCTCTCCCATCTAAATCATTCTATTTTCTATTTCTACAGTTCCTGATAGCCCAAGTAGTGAAGATCCAGAAATGGCTACACAACAGTTTTGTATTGTCTTTTTACAACGTTATTGTAGTGACGGTGTTACAATGGCACCACCATTCTCTACATGTAGTCTTGATACTGCCTTATCACTATCTGTTGGTACTAGTCAAGTTTGTGATGTAAGTTGTTATTGTTGCCTTTGTTCAATGATTACTTATTTATTTCATGATTATTTTGTTTAAGCGTGTGTGTGTGTTTACCTGTCTCCTATTTCAAAAGGTACAGGTGTAAGTGGGGGAACTTTGTGTACATTTACATGATTTACTCACTGTTATGTACTCGTCGCTAAATTATTGTTATGGTCTGGTCGAGAAACTAATACTCCTGACGCAAAAAGGCGGAAATCAGAAGACCACTAGGTTTGCGATGATACTTCTATTGTCCAAACACAAGGAGACGAAAAATAAATGGTCTCACACCAAAGTGGTAAGTAAGTAAAGTAGTTCACACAAATTGTGTATGCGAAATATATATGACAAGGGTGTGAATAATCATTAGACAGTTTTAACATGAATGGCTAATTATAATGAAGTATCGATCCACATATACATAGCGAAATATAACAGACATATCAACAACCACACATAATATGGATATATGTCACCAAGCAACGGACTGTCAACAAACACTCATATTATATATAATATAATATAAGAAGAATACACATTAATAAAGGAGACAAGTTCACACAAGTGAAATGGTCACAGACTAAGCGAGCAAACAGAAAGAGAGACCAACATACACACACACATAAATATATATATATGTGGATACATATCACTCACTAACTGACTGATTGATTGGTGTCGATGCTTCAGTGTTAGAATCCTGTATAGTAACACTGACTGACCGACTGGTTTCAACATAGAACTTTGCATCGATGTGCAGCAGTTTAAGTCGTCACACTCCACTCCTTGTAGCACACAAAGCCAGCGAAGAAAGTAAAAAGAAACGCGAAATAGAGACAGTAAACAGAGATATGAGACAAAAAGAATAGTTATAACGAAGAACAATATAGTTTCATTGAGTATTATAAGTCACACGGGGAGTGGATGCATCTGCACCAGCCTTTGACAACGACGATTTTGAGCCATATCACCCACCAACTGTCTCCAGCCTTCATTGATATTTACCATCTCGAGGACCCCAACCAGTCAGTCAGGAAGTCTACACCTTCCTACTTGGCTTAAACTAACTTTTGTGGATTTGATTGACTGATAAAGCCATGTTCTGGTTTGACCACCACTGGCTTTCTCTTTTCCAACCTGATCCTATGTGTCAGCTAACATTGCCCATTGTCGAGGAAAGCGATGGACGTCTAGGCACGCGTAACACATGTGGTTGTCATCTCAATCGATGTAACTTCACAGCCTCGTGTATTGATTTCCCCTCCTTACCTAGCACTCGATCGACACCTAACCTTAATATTGCTTAACTTATTTATACCATTCAACACGGGAGATAGAATGCAGACACCTGTGGTCGAAGACAGCTAGCTAGCAGTTTCATGTCTTCCAGTCAAAATGGCCACGTCTCACTCAAAGACATAAAGGAGGACGGAGTGGATTGGTGATCAGTGCACACGTCTTTTGGTCGACAGCCAGCTGGATATCACGACGGCGTAAACTGGCGGATCGAGACTTCTGTATCCGTGTTGAGATTTCGTCAGCGGTCAACCCGTTGGCGTTGGGGCTGATGCAACTTCTCAAATAAGTGATGTGGTCAACACACCCCACCGACCACTTCACTCCCTATTGCTAAGCTAGAAGTGAGTCAGTGTAGTCCAGTCCTGTAACATCATCTTACATTTGAATAGGGGAGTGAATCACATGCCAAACATTCACAGATTTCAGCTCAAGGTGTTCAGAAGACTTTGCATTTTGTCAGCGTATTTACCTAGGAGGAAGGATTATATCATCTGCATAGTCTAAGTCAACGAGATTATTCCCTGGTAACAAGTCAATCCCTGCGTCTCTAAAGTGAGTTAGGTTTAAGTTCATTAATACATCTATGATGAAATTGAATAGAAATGGGGATAATGAGCATCCCTGACGGACACCAGTTCAGATGAGAACTCGCCGTAAGCTCTTACCTGGTTGGCTATACAAGTTCGAGTAGAGTGCAGTGTTTGGTAACACACATGGTTTGGGGTTTGATACACTCCTTCTCTTAAACTTCACTTAGTCATTTATTTGTTAAGAAGAAGGCGCTGGTAAGTAAATCCTGTAAAATTAACAACAAAGCACTTGAAATGCATGTACTGTCCTGTCCATGAAGACTTTCTCTACATATAGATCTTTCGATTTTGCCATTAGTAATTTTCGCTAGAAAAAACCTCTAGGAATTTAATAGTATCGTTTTCCTTGTGTTCTATTGTGAAATTAAGATTCTGATGGTGGCATGAGTTGAATTTTATCAACATGTCTTCAGCTTTTGATCTACTTCCATAGACAATAAAAATGTCATCAACGTAACTGAGGTATACATCCGTTTTTGATTGGACACTCTAGTAACTAGTGTGATGTGTGTCTAGTCCTTCGTGTTAGGTGCAAACTGAATTCTACCAGTCAGTCAGGTTTGTAGTGTGACCACCATTTTAGGTAGCTCGCCATTACTCTGCACATTGATTTTTGATGATATTAGATGGTTGGAGGCAATCGACCACAGGAAGCCTTGCCCAACCTAGGTTTCGTGCTAGTTGGCACTCACCAGTCAGTCAGCAAGGCGTATCTGCAAGTTAGCTTGAAGGAACTCATGTCCCTCATTCTGAGAGTCGAATTCAGTCTGCACCAAACACCAAGGACTAGACGCATCACACTAGTTACTGACTGGTATCCAGCTGAAATATCCACTACAGTCCTACAGGGGGTCAATCGCGAGTCCGAATAGCTTAGTGCTAACGTCTGTCTCTGACTGCTGACGGCACTAGGTGATGCGGGTTCGAATCTCAGAAGGTGGGACATGAGTTCCTCCAGGGTAGTTGCAGATATACGCCTTGCTGACTGACTAACTGGTGAGTGTCAACTAGCACGAAACCTTGGTCAGACAAGGCTTCCTGGGGCCAACTGCCTCCAACAATCTAATATACATCCGTTTTATTGTACATGTTGCTGCAAGGTACCGGCTTCTAGGCCTGACAAGAATAAGTCTGAAAAAAATTATTAATGTAATCGTGGTTTTTGTGTTTTATATTGTCTACCACCACCACCCAGCAACCCTCCCCCCCCTTATAGTTTGCTTTTATGCTTATATTCTCCCTCTCTCTCTCTCTTTCCAAATACAGCGTAAACCACTATTTATCTATTTACACAATGATAATAGTGTTGCCTGTCATGTATTCTGTCAACAAGTATTATGCTCAAATGGATTGATCCGATTTTTAACTGATCATGAATTCAGTTTATGGCCATGGGATATGACAAAAACAAGAGCAAGAGAACGCCTGCTTGGTTGGCTTGAAGTGAAATTACCAAACCTATCGCGGATTATAACACCATTACCTGTGAGTTTTTTCTTTCTCTTGATGTGTATTTCTGTGTGTGTGCGTTTATTTATGCAGTGTAATTCATTCTTCTGTTTCTTTAGACTGTTTAAGAAGCCTTTTTAAGGTATAGATACATGCTGCAGACATTTCATATCCTCTTATGCTTACTTTTGATTTCATCAAGGGAGGAATCATCTATCGACTGGTGTCTTTTCATCACTAACCAGCGCTATCTGTCCTCGAATCGAAAAGTTTTTTGCCAACTCCTATGACGAAGACCCTGATGAAATTCAGGGGATGAAATTCTGTATTTACAAGTTCACCTGCAGTTGCGGTGGTACACGCAGATATAGGTAGAACCAATAGAATGTTCCCATGTCGTCGCAGAAAACAACATGTTCCAAAATGGTTACTAAAACATATTTTCTATGGTTTGGTTTGTAAGGGTGTTAGTTTTGTTTTTACGAGTTGATCACGGATTGATATCAGCTAGAGAACCATTGAAAACCAGCCAAATAGAGTACTAGAAAACTGCTGTTTTGTCCTAGTTTGAGAATCATCGGCAGTACGCGTCCACCACCAAGGTTCGAACCTAGGACCTTCCGGTTACACGGCAAGGCCAGCCCATGATTTCTAACTTCTACCAATTCGTGATTTAGCGTGACCCCAACTATTGTCGTAGATGGAACATCCATCCTCACACGTGACATCTGAATGAATCTCACTGGTCTTCTAAATACTTTGAGCAGAAATCTTCGATTATTTGGGATAAGATCTCCTCATTTTGTCAAATGTAAGACGACGCTACAAGACTGGAGACTACATCGATTCTCCTAGTTTAAAAATATGGAAGGAGTGAAGTGGTTGGTGGAGTGTTTTGACCACTTCACTGATTTAGGCAGTTATATCAGCCCTAATAATGGACACAAAAGGCTCATGTTGGGATTTGTCAACTTACGTCGTCTCTGGCCTAGGCGTGAAACTTGTCTGTCGATCAAAGGAATGTGTGTGTACTGCTCACCAGTTCGCTCTGTCCTCTTTTGTGACTGTGAGATGTGACCATTCAAGGGGGGGGGAGACATGAAAAGGTGAGCTAGCTGTCTTTGACTCATATGTGTCTGCGTTCTATCTCCCTTGTTAAGTAGTTTACAAAAGTGAGAATTATTGAGGTTAGGCGTCAAGCGGTTAGATAAAGATGGAAAGTTAATCGATAAGATTGGGAAACTATATCGATCGGGATGGCTAAGACACGTGTTACACATGCCTAGACATCGCCTTCCTCAACGGGAAATGTTTTCTGACATAGGATGAGGTTGGAAAAGAGAAAGCTAGTGTGATGGTCTAACCAAAATCAGTCAATGAAATCCATAACAGTTAATTTAAGCCAGCCACGTGTAGGGTGTTGTGGACAACCTGACTGGATGCAGTCCTCAGTAGTATGATGTAAGGACCAATGAAAGCTGAAGACACCTGGTGGTGGTGATATTGCTGAAAATCGTTGTCAATAACTTGCACAGATGCATTCACAGCCTGTAATCTCCCATATCCAATAAAACCCTATTAATTTCCTATGTTACTGTTCTTTCTCCCTTATATTTCTGGGTATTATCATTCTTCCGAATCTCTTTTGTCCTCCTTTGTGTGGTGTACATGGAGTGTGGGGTTACACTTGTGTACAAAGTTCTATGGTGAAACCAGTCGGCCTGTGTGTGTGTGTTTTGAAGCTTTGAAAAGGCCTTCGATAGCGTAGTGTCGATCGAGAGGTGATTTGGCAACTACTTCGTTACTACGGGGTCCCATCGACAATTATACATCTCATCCAACAGTTATACGACAATGCTGCATGCCAAGTAATCCACAACAGGAAACTTACGGAAGCCTTCGAAGTGAGGACGGGAGTGAGGTAAGGCTGTCTACTATCGCCAATGATCTTCCTGCTTGCGGTAGATTGGATAATGCGACAGACAGCGGCGAGCAATGAGGAAACAGGCATAAAATGAACTCACACAAAAAACTTGGAGGATCTGAACTTTGCCGATGTGATATATGTCTGATTTCACACAAACTGGAAGATATGCTAGTGAAAAGCAACAAGCTGGCGGTAGAAGAAGCATCCAGAGAAGATAGGCCTTCATGTGAATATAGAGAAAACAGAGGTGATGAAGATTCCTGGCCAACACCAACAGCAACAACAAGAGAAAACAGTCAGCATAAATGGGAGGAACCTGGAAGAAACAATCTTCTTTAACCACCTACCTACCTGAGAAGCATAGTTTCAACTACAGGCTAACGGAACTGACGAGGATATCAAAGCCAGAATCGGAAAAGCAAGACAAGCTTTCATTACTCTTAAGTCTGTGTGGAGGTCAACATCACTCCTTAGCATCAAAATAACATCCGGATTTTCAACTCCAATAAGAAGTCAGTCAGTGCTACTCACTGTACGGATCAGAGACTTGCACTGCGCGTCATAAAGAGCATCTCAAACAAACTACAGACCTTCATTAACAGTTGTCTTCGCTCAATACTCAAGATCAGATGGCCAGTCAGAAAAGATCATCAAAAGGGATCTCTTGCAATGAGCGAACCAACCCAGCAGGAAACGATTGTGCAACAAATAGGCAGGAAGAAATGGAGATGGATTGACCATACTCTGAGAAAACCATCAAGTGGCATCACTAGACAAGCCATTGCTCGAGTGGAACCCGAAATGGAAGCGGCGAGTTGGTCGTCAGTGTGAGGGTGACTTGGAGGAGGTGATGTGAAGAGGAGATGAAAGCATGTGGGTGGCAGACTTGGAGCGGGGTGAAAAAGTTGGTAGAAAACCGACGGCAATGAAGACGCGCGGCGGAGGCCCTATGTTCCTCTAGGAATTAAAGGATATAATAATAATACATTTGTCTATTAATTTTGATGTATTTTGATGTAAGCCATACTCGCTTCCTGTTTGTTTGTTTTTTATTTCTGAAGTTTCATTCTAAAAATGACTCCTCACTCTTAAGCACAAAAAATTGAAGTTTTTGTTTTATGTTATCTGAATTTAAAGTTTATTGCAACTTGAGAAACATCAGACTTTAATTGGTTGTATGGTGACTAGTAGTGGAATCCAGGATAACGCGCATTTCGTCCTGTTTGGGACTCATTATCTGGATATACCTGCATTTTCCAGTGAGGAGTGATGATGTTCCCACCGAGGCTTGAACCCAGTGCCCATAGTTTCGAATGCCAGTGCATTATCCGCTAGACCACTTGGGCCACGAGACCTGGCCACCTCTTGTGCAACGGGTCGAGCACTTCGGTCCAATCAGTGGACGGGAAAATCTAAAATTCAATTAAATTGAGAAAGCTCAGCTAAGAGAGAGAGAGAGTAGAGGTGTGTGATACATCGTTTCGAGATGGCACAATTTGTTGCAAATTGTCTTGAGCAACTGATGTATTGACTTGTCATCAGGATACAGTGTCGTCGACTCAGTGTATGCGGATGGTATTATCATCCCTCTCTATTATGCCGCTGACAAAATTTAAAGTATTCTGAACACCTTCATCGAAAATCTTAGTATGTTCAGCTTGCGATTTAGCCTTGTTAAATTTAAGATGGTGCAACAGGACAAGACTAAATCGACTCACTTCTAGTTTAAAGATAGGGAGAGTGTAGTGGTGATCAGACAGGTTAGTCGATGAAGTTGTGAAACTCACATCGATTATGCGTGTCGGTAGTTCAGGAGTAGAATCTTCGCCAACTATGCACTTTGTCCAGGGTTCGATTCATGGCTGACGCGCTTGTGAACCTCGCTTAGTCGACATATTAACTCAAAAAAAATTGGGAAGAGTAAGCGTGAGGGTAGCAACTCAACCCCGTAAGGAAAACAATGCCAATCTTCAAAGCTCAAGATGGAAGCATATTTTCTACTCAGGACAAAAACCCTGGTCAGAGAATGCACCTGAGCACTGTGGGCAAAACGTGGGCTAAATGATCGATTTTGGTCGGCAAATAGATGGGTAAAAGAAGGTAGAAAAATGTTACATAATTTGCCCACTTTACCCTCCAAAGCCTCAGGATGGTCGGGGGTGGGTGTCTTGCGCTGCGGGTTGGCCACCCCTCTGTACACCTCTTGAAATGCTACCATATGACCGGGCGTCTTACATAGCCTCTCCTGAGGAAGTCCTACTCACTGCCTTCACGTGGCAGAGGTGTTTTTCACCGAAGTGAGAGGGCGAGAGCGGATGGCCGGCGCTCTTCACCGGGTTGACTGTCCATTGGATGACAGTGTAGGGGAGATGGCTAAACCCTGGTTCCAAACCTCCAACGACTGGCGTATGAAGCTCACCGGAGCTCACCGGGAGACGTATGGACAAAGGGCTTATTGGATGCCCTGGATGACTGGCCCCATTCAAAAAGGCGTATGAACCGGACTCCAGTCACCGGCTCCCAATGGATAGTGGACTCCCTACTCCACTCCTACTGCCTTGTAGGTCACATTTGGTTGTGTAAAGGCTAGAGCTGCACTCTCAAACAAAAGGCCGAGCGATTCTGGGGACATCACTCGTACCCAATTCCCATGAAACTTCATGGTTCATGAAGCCGGCTCATCCTCCCGTAGGAGATAGCCGAAGTAAAAGTAAGTACTTTACCTATATTGGCCACTTTTTCCCTGCTTGCCCATTTCCCGAAAAATTCAGCTGTCCCACTTTTTCCCAATTTACCAACACGACCCACGTTTTCACCCATTTATCCCATGTACAGAAAGTCAAAAATTACCTACTTTACCCATGTTACAACAGAAAACTGCCCACGTTTTTATCCACATATCCCCAGGTCCAAAAAAAAAACAACACCGACTTGAAAGGGATAAAAAGACGGTCTGATAAAGTTTGTTATGCTGAACGTTCAGTGTACATGTGTGTGTCTGCGGAGGGGGGGTGGTGATCCATTAGGAGAAGAAATGTACCAATGAGTAAAAATAATAGTTGATTTCTATGGCTTCATTCTATTGGATCATTTCTTAACACATGTACAT